GAGTGCTCCTCTAGGGGAGAGTCCTGCTTATTGTGTGTCAAGTTCTGAAGATCAGTGTAGGTTGATAGTCTTGGAGCCAAAGTAGCCTAACCTAAGCTTTGTTTGCTACTGATCATCTGTATTGGACTGGGTGCAAAGAGATCATTTTAAATGCACACCATTTTAGGGTCAGATCTTCCACCTACACCCATTTATGCCAGCTGAGAATCAGGTTCTTTAATATGAAGTTTTAAGAGATATCATTTCAGTTGGCCGAGGAAAACAAAAGGACAAAATTTTGCTTGTACATCTCCATAGCAAATCTCAACTCAATGACACATTCTGCAGTGTATTTCAGTACTAAGTAGTGTTTCCATCTCTCTGCCTTTCTAATATGACTGTCCTGTGGTGGGAGAGGCCCATCGTATGACTCCTGTGATAATTCACAGTTCTCATGCTTGAGTCAAAAGGACTCAAGGCAACTTCTTAAACATGTAAAAGTTGGGGATGCTGAAGTTTGAAATCAGAGTTGAAATATCTTGTCTGATTAAGGGATTTTTCAATCAACAAAACAATCTAGTTCTGAAGCAAATATGAAAGGGACGCGTATTACTCTTGATCCTCTCACACACTGTGTAGACATCAATGAGAATTGTGTGTGTGGTTCAAAGACCGTAAGTAACCTTAAACATATAGCTATCTAGCTATCTTCAAGACACCACTGACTTCCTGAGGAAACTACAATCCTTTGGTGATCTTCCAGAAAACACCGTCCTAGCCACTATGGATGTAGAAGCCCTCTACACCAATATTCCACACAAAGATGGACTACAGGCCATCAGGAATAGCATCCCCGATATCATCACGGCAAACCTGGTGGCTGAATTTTGTGACTTTGTCCTCACCCACAACTATTTCAGATTTGGGGACAATTTATACCTTCAAGTCAGCGGGACTGCTATGGGTACCCGCACGACCCCTCAGTATGCCAACATTTTTATGGCTGACTTAGAACAACGCTTCCTCAGCTCTTGTCCCCTTACGCCCCTACTCTACTTGCGCCACATTGATGACATCATCATCATCTGAACCCATGGGAAGGAGGCCCTTGAGGAATTCCACCAAGATTTCGAGGAATTCCACCCTACCACCAACCTCAGCCTGGACCAATCCACACAAGAGGTCCACTTCCTAGACACTACAGTGCTAATAAGCGATGGTCACATAAACACCACCCTATACCGGAAACCTACTGACTGCTATACTTACCTACATACCTCCAGCTTTCATCCAGACCACATCACAAGATCCATTGTCTACAGCCAAGCTCTAAGATACAACCGCATTTGCTTCGATCCCTCAGACAGAGACAAACACCTACAGAATCTCTATCAAGCATTCTTAAAACAGCAGTACCCACCTGGTGAAGTGAAGAAACAGATTGACAGAGCCAGAAGGGTACCGAGAAGTCACCTACTACAAGACAAGCCCAACAAAGAATGTAACAGAATGCCACTAGCCATCACCTACAGCCCCCAACTAAAACCTCTCTAGCGCATCATTAAGGATCTACAACCTATCCTGAAGGACGATCCCTCACTCTCACAGACTTTGGGAGACAGGCCAGTCCTCGCCTACAGACAGCCCCTCAACCTGAAGCAAATACTCACCAGCAACTACAAACCACACAACAAAAATACCAACCCAGGAACCAAACCCTGCTACAAACCCCAGTGCCAACTTTGTCCACATATCTATTCAAGGGACACCATCATAGGACCTAACCACATCAGTCACACCATCCGGGGCTCGTTCACCTGCACATCTACCAATGTGATATATGCCATCATGTGCCAGCAATGCCCCTCTGCCATGTACATTGGCCAAACCGGACACTTTCTACGCAAAAGAATAAATGGACACAAATCTGACATCAGGAATCATAACATTCAAAAACCAGTAGGAGAACACTTCAGTCTCTCTGGTCACTCAATAACAGACCTAAAAGTGGCAATTCTTCAACAACAAAAACTTCAAAAACAGACTCCAATGAGAAACTGCAGAACTGGAATTAATTTGCAAACTGGATACCATCAGATTAGGCCCGAATGAAGACTTGGAGTGGTTGGGTCATTACAAAACCTAAACTTAATTTCCCCAATACTAATTTCTCCCTACTGTTACTCACGCCTTCTTGTCAACTGTCTATAATGGGCCACTCTCTTACCACTTCAAAAGTTATTTTTCCTCCCTTGGTATCCTGCTGTTAATTGAATTGTCTCGTCAGACTGACCTCACACTTGGTAAAGCAACCCCCATTCTTTCATGTATTTATAACTGCTCCTGTATTTTTCACTTCATGCATCTGATGAAGTGGGTTCTAGCCCATGAAAGCTTATGCCCAAATAAATTTGTTAGTCTCTAAGGTGCCACAAGGACTTCTCTTTGTTTTTGCTGATACAGACTAACACAGCTACCACTCTGAAACAGTTCAGTGACATGAGGTTTACATTATGTAATTATAGTGGACCCTATTAAAAAGTTTGCTATCAGTTGCCACACAACAATATCACATACCACCATATTATCCTATACTTATCGCTGTGATACATGAGCCAATCACCTATTTTAAATATAGGCAAAGTAGTGTGGTATCTGATATCATTTTGTGCTGGCTGTGGGTAAAGGATAACTCCTTAATGGTGATCACTGTACTGAAAAATAAAAATGTGTTCATTTTTAGCTCTGCTTTATTAGGCTATTCTTTCTATTACAAAAACATCCATTGTGGAGTGAATCTTGTACAGGTGTCGTTTCTGCATCCCTGGCTCTAACATCCTGGTTGTTTCCTTAGCTTGTATTGATTCTTCCCTAAGCACAAAAAAAACTCATCCCCCCCCTCACCCCCCCGCCCCTGGAGCGCCACTTTACCGCGTTATATCCGAATTCGTGTTATATCAGCTCGCGTTATATCGGGCTAGAGGTGTACATGAAGTCGCTCCTGCTTTGCAACAGTATGGGTGAGCTCAGAATTGGCCCTCGATCTGCATTTGTAAGGTGGCTGGCACCGAAGTGTTCACAGTGTTTGAATGTGTATTGTTTCATGCGCCGTTCTACTTCTCTCACTTTTGTTGGTGTGGTACGGAGATATGTTTTAATTTTAGCTATGGAAAAATAACCTGAGGAATGATGGGATGAATGGGGCGTGGGGGTAGGGAGTGGTCAGAGAGGGTTCTGTTATGTAATACTGAATTGAACAGTTAGATGACAAAGCATTTCACACAAAAGCACTTGAAGTGCCATTCTTTTGTTATGGTTAAATGCACTGGTGCAAATTTTTGACAGTTCCACTAGTTTTGCTAAAAAGGGGATAATAGAATGCCAAGCAAGTACTAATTTTTCCTTTGCCCCATCCTAAACATACATAACCTCAGCAGTGCTCTGTGTGGAGCCACTTGGCTCCCCACTGAAAATGCAGACTTAGGCATCATTAAGTACTTTTGTGCTCCAAGGCAAAAGTATGTCAGTACAACTCTCTCATCAATCAGGCATCCAAATGTTTATCATGGGCTAGAGCTGTGTGAACCCTGCAGGACTCAGTTTGTTTGGGATTCCCAAGCTGAATCCTGCAGCTTTGATTGGCAGGGGCAGGCAGCAAAACAACCCCTGTCGGCTTGCGTGGAGAATTGGGGTTCAATAAACTCAATATGTTCCATTGCCCTCACTGTGTACCCTCGTATCTCTCACCTCTGGCTTTTGAGCATGTGTCAGGTGGTCACTGGCTTTGCCTAAAGCAGCCCAGAAAGGAGCTTCAGGCCATTCAGAATATGTCGTTTCCCCAATCCATAAAGACTCTTCTGAGGGACAGGACCTTCTTTGACCCCCAGGTTGTGGCATGGAGTCATAAGCCTGCAGCTTCTACTACTTTTGAGCTGGAACTGAAGGAAGCCCTATATTTCTTTTAATGGTCTTACAGGGCACAGTTGTTTGGAAATGCCTAGGGCTCCCTGTCTAATGCACAAGGCATTATGGGGTTTCTGTCAGCCTCAGCTGAGCAGAATGTGAGGCTGGCAGCAGCAAGCCTGAACAGCTAATAGTCAGCACTCCCTTCTGTTCAGTGGAATGGAAGAACTTGATGGCTCTAAATTCCTGACTTCATGTGTTCTAATGTGAAGAGTGACCGTAGGCATAGCATTTTGGGGTTCCATGTCTCAGTAAATTTAATACAAATGTGTTTAATACACAAGTAAAAATCTAATTTTTTTTTTCTAACTTCCAGTCATAAAGCTGGGATCTGAAAGTAATGCTGGGTCTTTATCTTGCATCATCATCAGTATATTGCCTCTTTATCATCAGTAATACATTGCCTAGGCCAAATTATGCCCTTAATTACGTTTGTGAAGCATTATTAGATTGCCTTGTGAGGTTGCACAGGTATAAACAAGGGCCTAATTTGAACTGCAGTATTTTTTTTTCTGAAGATGATGCATTAGAAGGACACAGTCTGATAAGTTTGTAGCATTGGGAGTTTAGAGGAAAAGACAACCCACCTACCCTCCCACAACAGCAATTGGAGCAAATTTCAATGCCATAAAAATCCACACCATCCTTTTTAGTCCCTTTTTGGAGCGGGGTTCCATTTTAATAGAGGTTGATGACATTAAATCCATGGCCATTCACCATGGATTTTAATTTTGTTTCAGGTACAAAACTCCTGGGGCTGCTTAGATCGGGGTCCCAAAATCAGAAGCTGCCCACTGGGCTCTCTCCATGACAAAAAGTAGATGATGGAGGGATATTCATTTTGATCTATCTCTAATCTTGAGGAATGTTGCACATTCCTAACCAATTACAGTTATTAGGTAGCGGGAAACGCAATAGAGAGGTGGTATAGTTTTTCATGACAATCTGCGCTTACACTTCATTTATACTGATTTAATGCTTGTAAAGGTGGCTGGACAGTAGCTGCCCATTCTGTATGTGTCCATCCTTGTTTCATGCTGCTTTCTTTCTCCCCACAGTTTGCCAAGGAACAAATAACAAGCTGACCCAGCTGGGGAACATGGAGGACCATTTCACCAGCCTGCAAAGGATGTATAACAATTGTGAGGTGGTGCTTGGCAATCTGGAGATCACATATGTGACACACGATCATGATCTTTCATTCCTGAAGGTTAGTGTAGCTAATCACATTGCTCTGATCCAGCACACAATGTGCATTGGTGAGATGTGCACAACCTCAAGAGAGGTTAACTCCTAATCGAGATATTTTTCTAGTCTGATGAGTTACCTGTTTAAGGAATTGAATTGTTTTTGAAGGTGAAGGGTCAAGATATATATAAAATGTGGTGACAAATGTAAAACCTGTTCAAACACATAGTTACTGATTGTCAATTAGAGACATCACAGAATGGAATTCTAAAATACCGGTCTACCCTAGGATACACTGTACTTGTATCAATGATTTCACAGCACCTAGCAAGCAGTTTTTCTCATGCTCATCACCCACTGCTCAAAAGTAATTATTTTAAATGGGAAAAGTATTGCACTCCTGCTCCCCTTCCCCCCCATGCTCCCAAGGAAAATGGAAAAAGCTCTGCACTGTGCCCTAAAGATAACCAAATTTGAGGATTGTCAGACCAGTGAAGCAAACTGCAGTGTTGATGGCTCTTCACTGAAAATGACCTATCATTAGCTGGAGCATTCTACTGCCTTGGTGATACCTGGTAAAAGATGTAATCTCCCTAATAACTAGAAACCAAGACATGTAACATCACCATCCATCATTACTTGTGCAATATGTTCCTGCACCAAGTAAGCCAGCTGCGTTCTGTCCAGACAATAATTTTGAGTGACCTTCAAGGATAATCCTAGACAATAATGCATGAACTACTTTCCATTACTACATTTGTCTCGTGCTCATGTCCATGCACAAGTGAATGAACTATTGTTGGGAGGGAATGGAAAAGAAAGGGACATAAATATTTTACTGGATGTATTGAAAAAAGTGCTTTCTGGCATGGTGCAACCAGATAGCACAGGAAGGTTGTGGAACAGCTGGGAGTAGAACCAGGGCCGGCTCCAGGGTTTTTGCTGCCCCAAGCAGCAAAAAGAAAAAAAGAAAAGAAAAAAAAGCCGTGATCGCAATCGCGATCTCTACTGCCGCCGCGTCAGTCTTCGGCAGCAATTCGGCGGCTGGTCCTTCACTCCTAGAGGGAGTGAGGGACCCACTGCCGTATTGCCGCCGAAGAGCCGGACATGCCACCCCTCTCCGTTGGCCGCCCCAAGCACCTGCTTGCTGGGCTGGTGCCTGGAGCCGGCCCTGAGTAGAACTCAGCTCTCCTGACTGCCAGTTTGATACCTTACACACTAGATCAGTGGTTCTCAAACTGTGGGTTGGGACCCCAAAGTGGGTCGTGACCCCATTTTAATGGGGTTGCCAGGGCTGGTGTTAGACTGGCTGGGGCTGAAGCCTGAGCCCCACTGCTCAGGGCCAAAGCCTGAGCCCCACCACCCGGGGCTCAGGCTTCGGCTTCAGCCCTGGGCTGCGGGGCTCAGGTTACAGGCTCCCTGCCTGGGGATGAAGCCCTTGGGCTTTGCTTTGGGGCCCCCCTTCCCAGGATGATGGGGCTCGGGCTTTGGCCCCTCTGCCGGGAGCAGCGGGGCTCGGATGGGCTCAGGCTTCAGTCCACTCTCCTGGGGTCATGTAGTAATTTTTGTTGTCAGAAGGGGGTCGCGGTGCAATGAAGTTTGAGAAGCCCTGCACTAGATCATCCTTCCTCAGATTTGTGCTTTTGAAATAATGTGTTTTCAATACTCAGTTTATTTCGTGCTTGGTTATCAGGTTACAATATTTTTGAATGCAGAGAGATTATGGGAGTAATTATATTAAATGTAGCTCACCTGTGTGTAAAAAAATAAAGAGCTGTGGGTTACCAGAGATGCATGGGTGGGTCACTGATCTGAGTTCTGAGGTGATAATCTCTTCAAATGAATCTTGTTTTCCTCTCAGCAAACAGCTTAGAGAAACAGCTTGACACAATGACACTTAATATTTTGTTCCTTCTGATTTTCCTCAGACCATACAGGAGGTTGCAGGCTACGTGTTAATAGCACTCAACAATGTGGATAGCATTCCACTGGACAATCTCCAGATCATCCGAGGAAACGTGCTTTTTGAGAACTTTTACGCACTGGCAATTTTATCCAATTATCACACAAATATAAATAAAATCAGTGGACTCAAGGAGCTGCCAATGAAACGGTTATCAGGTGAAGTGGTGGGGCAGACAATGTGGTTGTGAACTGTTACTTTATTTGAAGGAAACTCCCAGATCTTTATGAAAAGCTTCATTTAAGAAGCATTGACCTTTAGAGTCCTGTTCCAAATGAGACACTCTGAAGGAAGTTAAATGTAGTTTATTCAAATACCTGCCCACTTTATAACTACCCAGGTTACTGATAGTGATGGAAAGTTCCTTGTTTTACAATGCATAGGCCTAGGACCTCCGGGGGTTAATCCACTTAGGCCCTATAGAATTGCAGAGTAATGAATGTTGGCCCAAAACAGAGATGTTTTTTGTGCCAATTTGAGATGCCTTAGAGGGGGCTTGATTTTCAGAAAGTGTTGAGAACCTCAAAGTGCTTCAATCTGAACACCCAGAAATGGAGACACCGAGAATCACAACTCACTCTTGAAAATTTCAGCCACTTGGTTTTGACACCCAGTTTTGCATTTTGTGCACATCCATAATTTCTATTGGCTTCACTTGGGGGGAAGAGGGTTGGATGTGCAAAGGCTGCAGTACTGGACCCTTATTCGACCCTTATTCGACAGTTAGTTATGCCTTCTTTCAAGTGTAATAAGATATTGTAGAATGTCCTTTTCCATTAACATGGCATCTGATGAGTGTGTTTATCTCCTTTTCATGAAGGAAGAAAGAGAGCGATCATGCAATTGCTTCATTTTTGTCCTGTTTTTCTTTTGCAGAAATTCTTAATGGAGGAGTTAAAATCAGCAACAATCCACAACTGTGCAACATGCACACAGTTCTGTGGGACGACATTATTGATTTGAACAAAAACGTTGTAATGCTGTTGGAAGATCAAAATAATCTGTCTAATTGTAAGTATACATTTAACAAAACAGTAGTCACTCTATTACAGACAGCAGTACCATCAACCTACTTATTGCATTATAGAGCCCCATTTCTGCAAACACTTTTATGTAAATGCATTGACTTCAAATCCTACTCACATAGAAATCATTTATATTTTGTTATTGAATTTACTAGGACCAAGATTTGGACCTAAGAGACTGATCCAAAGCACACTGAAGCCAGTGGATTGGCTCCCATTGATATCAGTGGGCTTTGGGTTGGGCCTTAAATGTGTGCTGCTTCCGTGAAAATGACACACATCAATATAACGCATACATATTTTCTTTGCAATGATTTTAAATTTACAGCGTAAGGCCCTGATTCAGCAAAGCTCTTAAGCGTATGCTTAACTTTAAGCATGTGGGTACTCCCAAGGTGCTTAAATGCGTTGCTGGGTTGAGACCCTAATTCCTATTTGTGAATATCATGAACTCTACACATGGTTTGACAGTATTAGGAAATCTTTGCAAAAATGAAGACCAGAAATGGATAAATAGCGATGCTTTAGATCAGCATGGAGGTAGGTGTAGATTTGAAAGCTTACATGACATGTACCCATGCTTATATCTGACCCAAGCTAGTACTGTTAATCCTTTGTAAGATCTAAATTCAGCTCACAAAATTTTAAGAGGGGGAAAAGAGTTTGTTTTAATTCTTGGGCATTTTTGGCACTACAGTTTGGCACAATGTGTATTTTCTGATCTACTTCAGTTGAGTAATTGACTAAGCACTAGCAGGCACACACTGTTGACATACACTCGGGAACCCCACTGCAGTCAGTGGGATTGCAGGAGGTGTAAGTCAGCAGAGCTTGGCCCTGAGTACTATGGAAATTTTAACCTTTAACTTTTAAACTTGAATCCCTTTGGCCCAACAGTAAATCAGTCAGTTATTAGACAAGTATTGACACTTGTTCAGCTATTTTGGCAGTGAGGGGGTTGGAAAGAGCCACGTGTTATGAGCTGGACAAAACTGTCCTAGAAAGAAATACTCCTTAAATGTCGTGAGTTTCAGATTCATCTGTTCAGGCAGCCATTTTTCTTTTTAAATAATGAGCATGCAAGATAATTGTGTCCCTGGGATTTTACCTGTCATTAGAAAACAAACAAAAATAAAAAGCAAAACAAAGCAACAAAAACAACAATAAAAAAATAAGGGGGTAGGGATAATGACTGGAAGGCCTGTACTAACTTTACAGATCAGTTAGTTTGTTCAGTGGTTTGAGCATTGGCCTGCTAAACCCAGGGTTGTGAGTTCAATAACTGAAGAGGCCACTTAAGGATCTGGGGCAAAATCAGTATTTGGTCTTGCTAGTGAAGGCAGGGGGCTGGACTCGATGACCTTTCAGAGTCCCTTCCAGCTCTATGAGATAGGTATATCTCCATATATTGTTATTTTACCCTTACTTGTTTTCATTAATTGTATGTGTGCTGCATAGTTCAGTGCTGAGAACTACTTTTGTCAGAGCTGTGGAAACAAAAGTAATTAAGTCAGGGTACAAATTACCCTGTGGTTTGAGTAAATGTCGCCAATCGTTTGCAAATACAGTCATATTTGTTTTGTTGTCAGCGATGTATTATTCAAAAACATTGATTTACATGACAAATTACTATCTGGCCATGAGCTCTAACCATACAGAGTTTCAAGGTGAGGAGGCCAGTTAGTCTTTCAGTTTTTAGTTCCCAGAGATGATGTACTCGTTTCATGTTCCATTCTGCCCAGTTCTAGATGCAGATTGCAGATACACATGCTCTTCAAGTTAGGGCTCTAATTCTACCTGCTAACTGACTACCTACACATCTACAGTATCAATAGCAAACACTGATTGGCAAGTTCTTAGTTTTATTTATTTTATATAAGAAATTTTTAAAATTTAGAATTCTGATTTTTCCTTCAGAAAATCAGCTTTGTTAATTCAGCATTATATACAGCATTCTTAACTGAGGTAATAGTCCAATAACATATACATGTGGCTGAAAAGTTTCAGCTAAAAAGGTTGAGCTACTTCTGAGAACAAGATTAGGGAAAAATAAGTAATTTTGGTTTTGTTATAATAATTCTTTCAACCATTTTGTTGAGAAACTCCATACTTTGGAGCAGGCATTTGAAAGTTGTCAGGGAATTGGGGGTGCCTTGATGTCAGGAATGTGCCTTTTGCCATCCCTCTGAACATTCATCCAAATTTAGCCAAGTTATTTATAAGCCTCTGAAAAATCACAGTTCACACATGCTCAGAAGAGGCTTGATATAGTATGACAGCCATATTCTCTGAACTGGACGTGCTCCATCTCCTTACAACTCCTGTGTGCCAACCAGGCTCTGCATGTGCCATCCCCTAAAGCAGGGGTCTCAAACACGCAGCCCGCGGACCGCATGCGGCCCGTGGGGTTCTTTCATGCGGCCCGCCAAGCTCCCCACGGTCCCCCGCCGCCTACCCCGTGCCGCCATGAGCCCCATGCTGCTCCCTGAAGCGGCCTAACTACTGTATGTCCCTGCAGCCCCAGGCAGGGGGGTGGGAGGCGAGTAGAGGGCTCCGTGCTCTTGCAGCTCCCATTGGCCGGGAACTGGGAACCGCGGCCAATGGGAGCTTTGGGGGAGGTACCTGGAGGAGCAGCAAGAGCAGCACATGGTGCCATTTCCCCTCCCCCTCCCAGGGACTCCAGCTGCTTCCTGGAGTGGAGCGGAGCGGGGCCGGGGACAGGGCAGGCAGGCAGGGAGCCTGCCCTGGCCGCGGTGCGCAGCGCTGCCACCCCGGATCCACTCTAGGTAAGCGGCGCCGGGCCGGAGCCCAGACCCCCGCACCCCTTCTGCACCCCAACCCCCTGCCGCATCCCACACCCCTCCTGCACCCCAACTCCCTGCCCTGAGCCCCCTGCCACACCCTGCACCCCTCACCCCTCCTGCACCCCAACCCCCTGCCTGGAGCCCCTTGCCACACACTGCACCCCAACCCCCTGCTGCACCCCTCACACCTGCACCCCAACTCTCTGCCCAGAGCTCCCTGCCACACCCTACACACCTCCTGCACTCCCTGCCCTGAGCCCCCGCCGCACCCTGCACACCTCCTGCACCCCCTGGGGGCAGGGAGGGGGCAGAGTTGGGGTGAGCACTTCAGGGAAGGGGTTGGAATGGGGGCAGGGAAGGGGCGAGAAGAGGTGAGGCGGGGCAGGGGCAGGGCCTCATGGAAGGGGTGGAGTGGGGGCGGGGCCGGGGCAGCAAGTGGGGGGTGTCAGTGATGCGGCCCTCGGGCCAATGCACTAGTCTCATGTGGCCCTCGAGGTCATCTGAGTTTGAGACCCCTGCCCTAAAGTAACTGAGCCCCGGTCTACAGTACAAACTTATGTGAGTATAACTATGTTTCTCCAGGGTGTAGAAAATCCATACCCCTGAGTGATGCAGTTATATTGACCAAACTCCTGGTGTAGACAGTGCTGGGAGGGCTTCTCCTGTCAACACAGCTACCAGTGTGGAGTACTTATGGTGACAGGACTGTCATGCTGTCTGGAGTGGCTCACAAGTGTGAGTGCCTGTCTCAGGGCAGACTGTCAGAAAACAAGGGCAGATACCCCAGACTGGTGGTATATTCTATTATTAGATTTCACCAAGCCAATAACAAGCATGAACTCCTGGATCACTATACCAGTCTTACCATGGAGTCACAGACAGTCCCCTTAGCCTCTCCAGCCTAGCTCGTCACCCAGACAAACTGAACTTAGTGATGATGGTCACATAAACCAAAAATCACACCCCATCAGGTTTCTCCCAGTCCCAAATGACCAGTCACTTACTCCCAGATCAGCTGGTACTCAGAATCTTACACCAAAGACCTCGCTGGCAGCCAATTCTATAGTAAACTAACTATAGGTTTATTAGCTAAGAAAAAAGAATGAATTATTGAGAGGTTAAAGCACGTACAATATAATAACAGGTGAGTCAAAGTTTGTAATTCCAAAATGATAGCAGAGATGTAGTAATCTTCCAGTTTCCCAAAAGTCTTTTCCAGGGCTACCCAGAATAATTCTGGAGGTCTCCGTCTACTCGTTCAGTTATTCTATCCTGTTAGAATCCAAACAGTCTAGAGATAAAGGATCTTCCTTTGAATCAGTACTGATAGCTTCTTTTCACAGACAACAATCTGACAAGTATCTGAACCCACACAATGGTCAGTTACTTTGAATTTAGCACTCCTCTTCATTTGCATTTGATGAGTTATTTAGTTAAATGCCTGCCGTTACATTATAATAGGAGTAGATAAGTGAAAACAATACAAGTAACATTCCATTAGTTTTCATGAAATTCTAACACCTGATTACACTCTTACATTAACACACACTTTTATCTAGGGTTATTTAATTATCAGGCATGCTTAATGTAATGTAATAGTAAACAATAGGATATAGATAGGCAAAAGCAATACAATTAACATCTCCTTTGATCCCTATTAACACACAAGTGAATTGGCCTGACTATATACTAATATATTTAACTCCTTTGATATTCACCCACAAATGAATTGGCCTATGTCTCTGACCTGAGCTAGTCTGTCAGTGTCATAGGGAGAAACTCTCCTGTCTGCATAGGTAGCGTCTTCACTAAGCACTCCAGCACTGTAAGTGTAGATGAGCCCTGAGTATTCTCCAGCCCAGAGCTTCAGGGGCTAAGCAGAAGTTTCCTTGCAAGTTTCCCAGGTCCTGTGAGCCACTATGGTGCCTACCACTGGAACCTAGAGCAGGTAGACTCTCTCTCTCTCTCTCTCACTCTCTCGCTCTCTCTCGCTCTCCCCTGTGCCCTCAATGCCCCCCCCTGCTGGAACCTAGGCAGTGTGAAGCAGTAAGAGGAAGCAACCTGACTTAAATGTAGAGGGGGAAGAGCAGGAGGTAGTGGAGCTGGGGGTGAGGAGCAGGACAGGCCCAGAGAGGCCCAGGGAGAATAAGAATAGAGGGAGACTGATACAGGAGCTGGTGGGATGGAGAGGGATGTGAACAGAAAGGGACAAAGTTAGGAGTTGGGGATGGAGAGGAGCAGAGAAGGACAGAGACAGGTAGGTGGTGACAGGGAAAGAAGGGTTTGTAACCAGTAAATTACACTCCCCTCCAAAGCCTGGAATAGAATCCAGTCTCAATATTTCTCTGCTGTCAGCAAAATAGTTATGAAATCCACTGGCAGTGTGTCTCTCCTCCTTCTCTAGTGGCTGATCCACATAAAGAATAACTGCCTACTAGTACCATTACACCATTAGCTCAAGCAATAGAGGTATGTGCTGTAGATTGAATATCCCAGCCCTGCCAATGACCTATGCTGGGGTCACTCTGGTTCCCTATGATAGAATTTCTGTTTTTTCAATTTGCTTCTTTAAAAACATTGGGAATCACATACAAGAAGAGTATGTTAGAAGAAAGTTACAGTGGTAAAGTCAAGCAATCAAACATTAGGAAATGCCAGACTTAAGATGTTGTTCCATCTCCCTCGTGCTCCACCCTTCCTGCCGCCCCTCCACCCATATATGCATACGCATTAAGATGCAATTAATTACAGGATCATATACGTTTTTTCCACAGGACCCCTGCCTCATTCAGTACACAGGATGGACAGTGCTTACTGAATGGGTATCTATTTCTTGTTTATTTTTATCCTCATCATTCAGTGTGTGGCACAGAAGCTCTCCTGTAGCTGTAGTAACAGGCACATGGGGGATATGTTGTGACTGAAAGACTAAGATTCAGTTCCTGACAGCCCTGGTGTGTTATCTAACAATTGCATGTTACATCATGAAGGTTTTCCAATCAATGTAACATTTACATTTTAGGTTCCAAGTGTCATGCAAATTGTACAGAAGATCACTGTTGGGGTGCCGGCATAGAGAACTGCCAGACATGTAAGTCCAGAGATTAATTTAAAATATCCTTGACTGTATGCTTTTAGGTATTTGTTTGTTTATTATTCACTGAATAATGTCCCTGTCAAGTCCTGATGTGATGGCCAGTGTTTTATGGAAAACACTGTGCCCACCGCAGACATGGGTGGCATGCTCCCCTAGCAATCCATCAGGTATCTGAGTGATTGTTAATAATGATCCTTGCAGTAGTAACTTCCACTATGTTTTTGCATATGCACGCATTGCTCTTCTTGTATAACAAACAAAAGCCATTGCAGCTCCTCATTGAGCGGCCACATATATGGAGAGAAAGGGGGCCTGGTGAACAGCACAGAAACCCCAAAATAATTTGGACTGGACTGAGATTTCTCCATGAATGCTCAGTCTTTGCGTGACACTTTCAGTTTTGGAAGCACTTTTCCTGCCTCCCTTAGCTTTTCCCCAAAATATAGGCCTTAGTAATTATAAAGGGATAATGAAGTAGCTGTAATGTGAATTTTCTCCACTTCTGTTGTTTCAAGTAGAATGACTGTGTATTAACATTCAAACTCTTACATAATATTTTAGGCTGAGAATGGGAATAACTCACCACTACTGTGTTGTTGTTTTTTAAATCCCCTTTGTAGAATTCCTTCCAACATGAATACCAGATAGTCAGAAAAGGTCACACTCGTATACCCTGCAGGCATATAAAGCAAGTCCTGACCACTCTCAGAAAATGAAGTGAAGGCCTTTAAAGGGTGCATGGCTCAGGGGATTCACAGCATGGGAGAGGTGTCCTAATTATTTATAGAGCACTTCAGAACCCTTAGGCAGTCCCGTCACTCATAGGCTGATCACCCTTTACCCTGTAATTTTGCACATTGGATGCTTACTATGGGCATCAAGAGAACAACAAACAAGATGTTTAGAGACACTTAAAGTTCTTGTGAGGATTTTACTTTTCAGTATATAAAGACTGATGGGGAATGTACTTTGAATACTTTGTTTCTTTTGATAGTTTATTATTTCACTGCTTTATAATATGTGTAGCTAGTCTGCATTCGGGGAAATGCTATGGGTCCTTATTCTTCTCTCATACCAGCTTTACACTAGCATAATTCCACTGAGTTCAGTGGAAGTACTTCTGATTTAAATCTACATAAGTGACAGCAGAATCCAGCCCTACAAATGTATTTAAATCTGAGCATCTTGCTCACAATTCAGGTATCAGGTCAGATCTACATAGCTTCTAGAGCAGGTTGGAAAAAAACACTCACCCTCATTTTTTCATCAGTTTCAAAACTTTTCAACCAGCTCTAATGGCTTCACTCCTCAATCCTTCACAGCTGCTCATAAAACACCCTATGCTGGATATTGCGGGACAAATTCTGCAGTTACTCTGTGGACGATACTGCACAAAACATAAACATTTACCATGATATACTTCCAGTGGGAAGCTTTTGTCAATTGTTCTCAGAGCGATGAGCTGTTTTACACCCCTGCTGATGCTTACAAAAATAATATGAAAACTCTGTTGTTGTAAAACAATGTGTCTTTTATCCCACTGTTTCTGGTTATGTGGAGGAGTTGCTGCTACACCAGTTATGTGTATTTTGGAGATAATATGTTTCCTTGAAAATGTAGTATTTGGTTACAAATATGAGATCACAAAATAATAAAGCTTAGGTGCAAAAGTTTAACAGAAAGAAAAAGTAAATAATAACAAATTAAAACAAAAAAATAGAAGAGAAAAGAAACAAGCCTATACTGGTTGATTACCCTGTAGCAGAGTGCCATTCTCGGATGATTTAAGTGTTAACTGTGATTGAACTGCAGTGTGACTATTTCTGAGTTACAAGAATTTTTTAAATATTTTCACTACTCTGTGCCCATTTGGGAACTTCATAGTTGACACCATGCTGCACACCAGTTGTTCTCAACCAGGGGTCCGAGGCCCCTTGGGGGTGGGGGGCGCGAGCAAGTAGGGCCAGCATTAGATTCGCTGGGGCCCAGGGCAGAAAGCCAAAGCCCTTCCACCTGGGGCTGAAGCCCAGGCCCTGAGCCCCGCCACCCAAGGCTGAAGCCGAAGCCTGAGCAATGTAGCTCTGCGGGGGCCCCTGTGGCATGAAGCCCCAGGCAATTGTCCTGCTTGCTACCCCTTAATGCCGGCCCTGGCTTTTACATGCAGAAAACCAGCTATTATTCCACAGGTGGGCTGTGGAGTTTTTATAGCATGTTGGGACAGGCCTCAGAAAGAAAAAGGTTGAGAACCCCTGCTGTACACCGTGACCACTCAGCGGGTTAGAAATCAAATCCTGCTCAAAAAGCACAGGCACCTCCCTGCGGAATCTAAGGAAAATCAATTCACTGTGAAGGATGCATAGTTGAGCAGTTCTGGTTCTGTCCTTCCCAGGGCAGTAGTGCAAACCCACATTAGTCAATGATTGATTTTTTTTCACTATTCTAGTCCAGACGATTTTGATACTAAAAAATTGTTGCAGGTGATTGCTTTGGTATTAGAAACAGCTTCTGGTCCAAAATTTTCCTCTCGGTTATATTGGCGCAAACCGTATGGGAGCTGCATAACAAAGAGGAAAACTTAGCCCAAGTTCCTGGAAGCAGCCGGCTGCTGCTGGCAAGTCTCTGCACGTCCCTGGTGGAGGGGGAGGCGGCTCCGCGCACTGCCCCCCACTCCCACCCCCAGCGCCACCCTCACAGCTCCCATTGGCCGGAAACCGGCCAATGGGAGCTGCGGGGGCGGTGCTTGTGGGCGCGGGCAGTGCATAGAGACTCACTGTCCCCCTCCCCCCAAGGGGCACACAGAGACGTGCCAGCAGCAGCCGGCCGCAGCCGCTTCTGGTAGCAGCGTGGGACCACAGTATGCAGGCAGGCAGCCTGTCTGAGCCTGCTATGTCACCTGCCGGGAGCCGCCTGTAGTAAGCGCCTCCCCCAGTCAGAACCCCCTCCTGCACCCAAACGCCCTCCCAGAGCCCACAATCCTCACCCTCTCCTGCACCCCAGCACTCTGCACCAGCCCGGAGCTTCCTCCTGCAGCCAAACTCCCTCCCGACCCCGCACACCTCCATTAATATAGTAGAAATGTGCAGCCTGTGACGACTTACCAAAATTTGTGAAGTGGCCCCCCTGCGAAAATTATTGCCCACCCTGACTTAACAGGAACATTAATGACACCAAGAGTATGTACTGTTAATATAAAGCTGGTCTTCCCACCAAGTTGATATCTCAAAGGTAGCACCAACCGATATTTTATTATCTCAGTAAAACTATTAGATACAAAGGTTAAATTCTGCTGTCTTATGCCATAGAATCATAGAATATCAGGGTTGGAAGGGACCTCAAGAGGTCATCCAGTCCAACCCCCTGCTCAAAGCAGGACCAATTCCCAACTAAATCATCCCAGCCAGGGCTTTGTCAAGCCGGGCCTTAAAAACCTCCAAGGAAGGAGACTCCACCACCTCCCTAGGTAACGCATTCCAGTGCTTCACCACCCTCCTAGTGAAATAGTGTTTCCTAATATCCAACCTGGACCTCCCCCACTGCAACTTGAGACCATTGCTCCTTGTTCTGTCATCTGCCACCACTGAGAACAGCCGAGCTCCATCCTCTTTGGAACCCCCCTTCAGGTAGTTGAAGGCTGCTATCAAATCCCCCCTCATTCTTCTCTTCTGGAGACTAAACAATCCCAGTTCCCTCAGCCTCTCCTCATAAGTCATGTGCTCCAGACCCCTAATCATTTTTGTTGCCCTCCGCTGGACTCTTTCCAATTTTTCCACATCCTTCTTGTAGTGTGGGGCCCAAAACTGGACACAGTATTCCAGATGAGGCCTCACCAATGTCGAATAAAGGGGAACGATCACGTTCCTCGATCTGCTGGCAATGCCCCTACTTATACAGCCCAAAATGCCGTTAGCCTTCTTGGCAACAAGAGCACACTGTTGACTCATATCCAGCTTCTCGTCCACTGTGACCCCTAGGTCCTTTTCTGCAGAACTGCTACCTAGCCATTCGGTCCCTAGTCTGTAGCAGTGCATGGGATTCTTCCGTCCTAAGTGCAGGACTCTGCACTTATCCTTGTTGAACCTCATCAGGTTTTTTTTGGCCCAATCCTCTAATTTGTCTTGGTCCCTCTGTATCCGATCCCTACCCTCTAGTGTATCTACCACGCCTCCTAGTTTAGTGTCATCTGCAAACTTGCTGAGAGTGCAGTCCACACCATCCTCCAGATCATTAATAAAGATATTAAACAAAACCGGCCCCAGGACCGACCCTTGGGGCACTCCGCTTGAAACCGGCTGCCAACTAGACATGGAGCCATTGATCACTACCCGTTGAGCCCGACGATCTAGCCAGCTTTCTATCCACCTTACAGTCCATTCATCCAGCCCATACTTCTTTAACTTGGCGACAAGAATACTGTGGGAGACCGTATCAAAAGCTTTGCTAAAGTCAAGGAATAACACATCCACTGCTTTAACACATCCATTGTAAATTGGGAGTGATTCCACTGATGCCGGTGAAGTTATTCCTGATTTAGCAAGGTGCTGAGCACTGGCCCCTTTCCCACAAAGCATGTAAGCCTATCCTTAACTTTGCTTAACTGTGCTTTTCTGGATCAGGGCCAGAGTGTTCAGTGCCTTGCAGAATTGATGCCTTACTGCAGGGTAATTGAGAGTTGAATTTGGCTCTAATACATTGGTGAGGAAAAGCTCAGAAACTCCCTTCTGGCCTCTGCATCCCACAAATTTCACTTGATGATGAGAGTGGAAACTGGTGTCTCGTGAGAGGCTCTACCCATGTGTTCTTTATCTGGAGTTTTCTCCTTACTTGTCAATCTTGGTTTAGCAAATATGCATTTTAATTCGTTTTTTTCTATCTTTCAGTAACAAAAGTCATCTGTGCCCAGCAATGTTCAGGCCGATGCAGAGGAAGGGTGCCCAATGACTGTTGTCATAACCAGTGTGCCGCTGGGTGTACAGGGCCTCGCGAGAGTGACTGCCTGGTAATACTACAGCAACATGTTTAAAGTTCAACAGCAGCAGCCAAGCTTTGGGCTGAATGCACTGTAACATTTTTTTAATCTTAGGACCCTTGAAAGTGATACTGATCACAAAATATCTTATTAAAATATGTACGGGACAGATTCTCCACCGGTGTAAATCAGTATAGCTCCACTTCAGTGTAGCTATGCCAGTCTACACCAGCTGATGATCTGGTCCATGTATTTCTTACACTTGGCAACAACAGCTTAGAATTTTAAAACAAAGAATTTTAAAAATGAAACTTACTTTTCATAATTTTTAATACCCTTTTTGCATTTAATTTAGTTTAGACCATGAGGATAGATTATGCAATTTCCTTTTTCTGTCTTTCATTTACTAGAACAACTCTGCTAGGGTTCACAGCACTCACAGGGATGGAATCCAGAAAAACCTGTTTACATTAGTTGTTGGCTTTTTTTTTTTTTTTTTAACTGTTGCAGTGTTTCCATTGATGTTCTGTTTTGTGAACCTGTCCCCCTTTTAAAACAAGTGATTCTATTTAGTTTGGGCTTAACACTAAATTAAGTGGAATTCAAGCAACTTCTGTGGAAACGGTCCAGTTTACCTTTGTTTGTTTGGATATATTTGTGTGGCTATTAAAGATGTAAACAAATCACATTAATTATGTTCTTATTGATTCATGGAAGGGAATGTTAATTCTCTCTTCTCAGAAAACCTAGGGAAGAACCAGGGGAGGAAGAAAGATTGTCAACTTGAATGTAGAATTAGCTTTGTAGAAATGACTTGCACTTCATAAATGCCCATTAAATTGCTCGTCGCCTGTAGCCAAGCCTAATGACATTACTTTAATATTTAACTGTCCAGGTCAGTAATTGACTGCAGGGACTTTATTTCATTAATGTTATTAAAAAGTTGCCAGTAAAGAAAACAGCCATTTATCTTGATCTGGTTTCTGATTTCTTAGCTCTGTTCTTGCTATCCAATACATGCAGGCAGAGCCCTGTTTCTAGGTGGAACCCACGGGCACTCCGTACAAGTAGAAGGGTCCACCTCTCAGGAGTCTGGTCCAGTGTTGGAGCCTGGGTTCGTAAGGACTTTGTAATGTAGAAGTTATTTGCATGAGTCCATGAAGATTAAGAAGACAAGATTGCCCTTCACCCTTGGACTCTTTCACCTCAATAGCACAAGAGCCCAATCCTGGAAAGTTCTCCATGCCTCAATTAGTGTTAAGAACCTGCTAGATCTGGCAGTAGCAGCCTTATAAAACAGGAATTATACATTTATTGTATCTTCCTTTTTGCTGTAAAAATAGACTGTAGTTTACTTTGCACCATTGTCACATTGTTCAATGGCAGGCATGCCGCAAGTTTCGCGATGAAGCAACGTGCAAGGATACTTGTCCACCGTTAGAGTTGTACAACCCGACCACCTATCAGATGGATGTCAACCCAGATGGAAAATACAGCTTTGGAGCCACTTGCGTGAAAGAATGTCCACGTAAGCTCACTTAAGCCTGCAATCTGGTCAGACCAGGGAAAATAGAGGGTCAAGGAGGCAGCGGGCAGAGGTTGCTATTAGTTCTCTCCCACCCAATTCAGGTCCCCTCAACTTAGTGCCCCCCTCCAGGCCAAGGAATTTCCTCACTCTCCTCAGCTGCTTTTGCTATGGAAACCAGTAGCAGAAAATCAGAAATGAGATGTAGCTGATAAAATACAAACGGCTTAACATTTTTGTATCCATTGTTTTTATTGGTTTTTCAGGGTGGTTTTTGTTTTAATTTTGAAGATTTTAGCTTGGTCTTTACTGGTGAATGCCAAAAAGAAACACTTTATAAAATCCATCGAACTCTCTTATAAGACCTGATCACACTCCCATTGAAGTCAGTGGCAAAACTCCCACTGACTCCAATGGCACAGGGGCAAGCCCATAAATACAGCGGGGCTGGTTCTTAGTGTGGGCTTACAGAAATCTACTGTTTTTAACACCTATGGTATCACATCCCAAAGCATATGGGTTCTTCTTAGTTCCTGTATTCATTGCCGTGTGTATGTCTGTTGTGTTTTGGTTTTTTTCTCTCTATTCCCTGTCCATGGTTTTTTAAGAAAATTTATTTAAAGGTAGAGAAGGACCCGAGTCACAGAATTAGGACCTGTATCTGAAGGTCACCATAGCTTATTATAAAGATGGTGTTGTATTATAAAGACTGAGGATGGTTTTGGGAATCAGGAGGTGTTGAGCTCTACTCCTGCTTACAATACTGATTCGCTCTTTGGCTTTAAGAAAGGCCAACTTTCTGTCTCAACTAATATGATGATAATAATAGTTATCCATCCCAGCCCTCCCCTTATTGTGAGGATTAATTTGTTAATGTCTGTAATTTGGTTAGTTAGTGCATTGAACGTAGCAAGCTCTAAGTACACTAATATTATGTGTTTTAATTCACCCCCTCTCTATTCAAAAGTTAAAAGGCACTTCAGCATTTTGTATCAATTAAATGCCTGTTTACAGCATAAATACAAATCCCAAAGCATCTCTCCTTTGTTTCATTGCCCTCATTGCATTTCCCTTCCTGTCTTTGCAGATAACTATGTGGTGACAGACCACGGCTCCTGTGTTCGCTCGTGTAATGTCGATTCCTACGAAGTGGAAGAAAACGGTGTTCGGAAATGTAAAAAATGTGACGGGCTGTGTAGCAAAGGTACGGAAAGTGCGCCAAGATATTAATATTTTTAGCGTGAGGAGAATTTACTTGACAAAGCATCCAACCAAATGGGACCCTAATCCTAATTGGAACCTCAGGGTGCTACTGCAATATAAATATCGAATAATAATATGGAGGCCTAAGCAAGTAGTTTAGCAGGGAAATTAATACTCCAGAGCATGTACTCAAGCTGACTCACTCAGCGTGTGCAGAAAGTAAATGCTGCCTCCTGCACAGTTTTGCCTAGCTTGTCTTTCCACCTTCTCCATGCCCTGCTCTTGCCAACCTTTCAACCATGGGAGTACCAGGGCCAGATTAAGGCATAAGCTAACTAAGCTACATCTTAGGGCCTCGCAATATGAGGGGCTCTAAAAAAGAAAAAAAAACTGACTCCATTTCAAAATTTATCAAAATCGGTTGATAAATAAAGGAGATTCTCTCTAAATATAGACATTTTCATTCAAATGTGACACATCTGGCTACACAAATACTCTTACCCTACCCTTACCCTTTAGTAATTGTTCATTATTGACAGGCGGGAGGCCAGGGTTGAGGGAAAAAACAACAATTGCACTTATAAAATTAGTATTTCTACGAGTAAGTCTACCAGTCTCCTAAGGCAGCGGTTCTCAACCGGGGGTCTGTTGCCCCCTGGGGGTCTGTGAGCCCTTTCAAGGGGGCTGCAGGGCCCTGCGTCTGAAGCTCTGATCTCCACTGCCCCCGTGGGGCTGAAGCTGGGAGGTGTGGGGCTGAAGCCCCAATCCCAGGCACCCCCCACGGGGCTGAAGCCAGGAGGCGCGGGGCTGAATCCCTGAGACCATGGGCAGAGTTGGGGACATGGAGGGCATTGCCCCCCCGCGCCCTCAAACTGCAGCACGAGAGCACAGCAGTCCCAGGGCAGCTCCACACCTCCCCTCCACAATCTCCTCTCCCCATCCCCTGGCCAGGTCGGAGGCGGGAAGCCAGAGCCAGGCAGTGCGGGGCTGCTGCTGCTCTGGCTGGTGCCATGGAGCAGGCAGCTGCAGCATTCCTTCCTCTCCTGCTCGTGCCCCAGGTTGAAGCTGCTCCTCAGTTCCCAGCCCCCTTTGCTCCTGCAGAGGCAGCCTTAAGAGCCCCCCGGGTGGGGAGCCTCGACTCCGTGGCTGACAGACCCCTCAGAGAACAGGGACCCCAGCACACAGCCCTTATACCCCTCTCCCTACACCCTGAGCTACACCCTCCCTGCACCCTGAGCTACCCCCTACCTGCACACAGCCCCAGCTACCCCTATTCCTGCACCCTGAGCTACCCCCTGCCCATACATAGCCTCTAGCCACCCCCCTCCTTGCACCCTGAGCTACCCCCTGCCTGCACACAGCCTCTAGCCACCCCCCTCCTTGCACCCTGAGCTACCCCCCTACCACAAACAACCCCAGCTACCCCCTCCCTGCACCCTGAGCTACCCCCTGCCCATACATAGCTCCTAGCTACGCCCCTCCCTGCATCCAGCCCCAGCTACCCCCTCCCGGCACCCTGAGCTACCCCCTGCCTGCACACAGCCCCCTTCCTGCACCCTAAACTGTTTTCAAACTTTTTGAGCTAAGCCCTAACTTTGAGTTATAACTTTGGTTGCATCCCCTGCTCCCAACCCAGACAGGCTACGTGGCCTACTGAGGTGAGTCGGGGTGGAGGTTGTGCTCCCTCCCTGGATCCCGCCTTGCAGAGCTGGCTCGAGCCCCGCTGACCCCTGCTCCCCCCAAATAGAAGTCAAACTCTGCCTATGCCCAAGGCCCCTGCCCTGAGGTTCTCCTGCCCCCGCTGGGCCCTGGAGTTTTTATAGCATGTCGAAAGGTGCCTCAGAGAGAAAAAATTGAGAACCCCTGTCCTAAGGCAGCATTTTGTTGGCGAGCTGCTACTGGTAAAATTCTGACCATTCCTTCATATTTAAATAAATAATTTCACTGCGATAAAATGGGGGAAAATGTGAGGTCTGAGACAGCAGTGTCATGAAGCAATCCTGCCAAGCTCATACTTGTATGGGACTCATCCTAGGAGAGACGTCATGTATAGCGTCCCCCTTGGCTGGTAATAACCAGAAGGCCACCATCTTTTGTTTACGGTCTGGCATGCTCAGTCGTATAGTGCCTTCGCTCCTGTTTTTCTTTATTTTCTTAAGTGTTAGTGTGTTCTTTCTTCTTTTGATCTGTACATACGTACAATTGTGTATTTTAGTGTGCACATCACTTTCTGCTTCAAGCGCTATCCATGCTTCACATGATTGAGTTTGCAGGTGATCGTTTTATGGACTTGGGTCAAGTGGATCTTGAGGAGGATAAATTTGTGTTGGCTTCCCTCCGTCAGTTTCGGGAACCTTCATAGTAAATATCAGAGGGTGCTGACAAAAGGATAAATAGAGGGTTTTGAGAGAAGTGAAGGAAGATATACATATATATCAAAATATTCTGAGTACTTGGTGAGCAAGTTCTTTCAAACTATGTGCATATATGATTTATAGGCTATTAAAGCCTATAATATTCATTATATTTGTTTGAATATAGAGTAGCTTTTCTCACTTTCTCAATGCCTATCTAGAGATTACCAGTCTTTTTTCTGGTAAATTCTTTCTTTCTCTTTCACACATATAGCAGTGTGTCCGAGGTGTTCACTCAAGATTAATTAATGGTCCTGGGGGAGACAGAGGATAGAGAAGCAAACACAAAGAGAGATGTCCGCCTAGAAAATGCTGCAAGAAAAGCTATCTGCCCTAAGAAGTCTGTGCATCAAAAGTCACAAACTCCATAGCTTATCATTTAAGGACATCATCAATGAGTTTGCGCTCCAAAAATCACAAAAGAAAATGTTTTAAATTTCAGTGTTACAATTAATGTAATGTGCAAACAGACATACTGCAGGTTATACTGCTTCCATTAAGTAAGCTGGTCTGTGTAACTGTAACTGCTTTTGTGTTGCTGTAGATATAAAGTTTTCATATCTACTAATAAAGAAATCATAGACGAAAATATATTAATTTGAAACTATTTTGTAATGCAGACAGGCATATTGCAAGACGTGGTTTAGTTAGATTATTATTCTGTTTTTACAACTTCGCCTTTGTATATATGCAAATATAAAGATTTCATGTTTATATATTCAATGTCCTTTCTGTGAAAATAATAATAATAATAAAAATTATTGTATGGGGCCTCTTATACTTGACATAGCTTAGGGCCTCAGAATGTCAGAATCTAGCCCTGGGGTATGTTTGGAGAAGCGTGTGTGTGTGCGTGCACCTTTATGGGCTTACACTAGATCCTGGGCTGCACAAACAATTGAGCAGCAGCCATCTTATATTTTTAAAAAATAACAACAAAGATGAGACCTATCTTGGGAGCAGATTATCCCACATCTGCCTATTGCAAGGTTCTTGTACCTTCTTCTGAAGCATCTGGCACTTGCCTCTGTCAGAGAGAGGATGCTGGACTAGATGGACTGTGGGTCTTGTCCAGTATGGCAGTGTCTGTGTCTAAACCTCTTGCACTTGAGTAGAACTAGGGGCCCTACTCATATCCTAGTGTTGCAAGTAGCATGTCCAGCAACTGCAACATCGTATGTATCATCATAAAAGTCTGTTCACCACCACCATCACTCCTTAGTTTAGACTGCTTTGTGGTTTCTGCAGGGTTTATTAGGATCACGTCCAGATCTTCTATGTGCTTATAAGGCAATATTACTCATTCACATCACAGCCTTGACTTTCCCTCTGCTGAAGATACACATGCATGCTTGCATCTCTTCTCACCTTGACTATGTCCAAGCTCTAGTTGTCGGGGCCCATCGTGTACAGAATGTAGCTGCCTGCCCTCTCCTACCAAGCAGCACATCTACATTCTCCCCATCCTTACACAGCCCTATTGGTTCCCCATCCAGTTCCAGCTCCTCTTAATACACTTGCTGCTATCTATCTCATAGATCTTGTGTGTCTCTCTCCTTCCAGCTCATCATCTCTGTCTCTTCCCATAGTCCTGCCACTTGGTGCAAAAGGCTTTTACACCTGCAGCTACTGCCATGAATCTCTCCCCTTCATCCACTCTGTGGACCTGATTGTCCTCTCACACCAGTGTAAATGAGGAGAAACGCCATTAAAATCAAAGGAAATATCCTGATGGGAAACTAGTATAAGTGAGATGAGAATCTGGTGTAGTCTAAAGGATTAATCTGCTTGCTTGCATAGATATATCTTTTCTTATAAGTTTAAGTATTTGATTTATTGTAATAGGTTTATAGATTTATATTGAAATTAAGTTTGGCTGTAATGCAAGGGACCTACAGGCCAAAACCTGTATGTTAAGCTAAGGCAAAGTTAGCATATCTACATTAAGACCTTTTACCCAGATAGCAAAGTTGACCTACATATTGAGACCTGTTACCTAAATAGATAAGCACCCACGTATATGTCTAAGACCTTTTATCTAGACCAGTAGACAATGGAAGAATAGCATAGGTTTTTTTTTCAATTTTATACCCACAGACTTAACAGATTTATGTGTGTATGCACATGTCATCAATACGCACAAACATACTAGCCTGGGGGGTAAGTGAACCCTAACATTTCTGTGGGTGGGGAATGAAATTTGGGCATAGGAGGAAGGATTTCCGGCACTTGTGCCCTATAAAAGAGGTGACCCACCTCGCTAGCATGTGCTATCTATCCACGATGACTACTAACTATTAGTAGGCCATACTCATTTTCTTTTCAAACTTTAAGTTCCAAGGGGACTAGGCTGGGGCTGATTTCCCTAACTTTTTGTTCTTAGTTTTGTTTATTAGGTTTTAATTTTAAGTTTAAGTTAGTTAAGTAAACTCTAAGTTAGCTTTGACAGCTCTTAGCATTAGCTTCCTCTGCACCTCTCACTCAAGAGTTGAGAAACCTGAACCACCAGAGGCAAGGTCCTGTGTCTTTCATCATCAGGTTATCAAGAAAGGGTGTGAGTATATTAACCAAAGCTTTGTAGCATACAATACCATATTAGCATATGTATCTCTTGAATAACTGTAATACAATTGTAACTTTGTAACTCTGATTATTTTACCATTTAATTACTATTTCATTGATTTTAATAAAAAGTCTTTACGGCTACATCTGTCTCAGTGTGAGCTTCCTGTCACACTCCCGAAGGTCCTTTGTAAATTCTGTGGAGCCTGATTTGGGACAAGAACTTTTATCTTCTGATCAAACAGATTGGCAAGCCTAAAACCCGTACCATCCAAATTAATATTATTAACACACCCTAGATCAGGCTACACTGCCCCTCGTACCCTTTTCAAAAAAACTCACCTGAAAACAATCTTTTCACCCTTGCTTATAACTGTTAATTTCTCTTCCCTCTGGTTTTGGCCTTAATACTGAATTATTTTTTTTTTTTATTTATTCAACATACAAGTCCAGAGCAGTGTAAGGGGTCTTATTGTGCATGAGTCTAAGTTCCACAATGCCTATGCACTCCTGTTTTCTCAGATTATTCCCATGTCTTGCCAGCTGTGTCACCTTGGGTATTTCTGTAATTAATTGTATAGCTACAGATCTAGAGATAAAACAGCTACAATAGACTCTATCCAGAATAATGTCACATTGATGTTTATTTTCTTAAATTCATTAATTCCTAAAATCCCTAAGAAACCTGCAGCTTTTGTGCTTTCATTTTAACAGTCTGCAATGGGATTGGAATAGGTGAACTGAAAGGGATTCTCTCCATAAATGCTACAAACATTGACTCTTTCAAAAATTGTACCAAGATCAATGGGGATGTCAGCATTCTACCAGTAGCATTTCTAGGGTAAGTCATCAGCTGATTCGTGTGTGGTGGGGAAGAGGGGTCATGGTTGGTCTTTTACCAGAAGCAGCCATTAAAGTTGATATGTTCTTTTTCAAATTGCATGATCTGTTTGATTTTTAGTGATGCCTTCACCAAAACAGAACCACTGGACCCAAAGAAACTGGATATCTTCAAAACAGTAAAAGAAATATCAGGTAGTGATATGTTTGGCTTAAAATTTTGTTTGATCTTGTAGTCCCAGAAAACATAAACAAAAGGGGAAAAGGAATAAGAACAGTTTTTGTTAAGAAACTAAATCATCTGAGTTAGTGCCGGTTTCCAGAGTAACACCTTTCAACTGCAGTCAGTGGAGTTACTCTAGATTTACACTCATGTAACTAGGGTGACCAAAAGTCACGATTTTATAGGGACAGTCCTGATTTTGGGGTCTTTTTCTTATATAGGTTCCTATTACTCCCACCCCCTTCCCGATTTTTCACATTTGCTGTCTGGTCACCCTACATGTAACTCAGATCAGAATCTGGTCTAAGGTGTATGGTTTTACCAGTCCATCCCTTTTGCTGAATTGTCAGACATATTAAAGAGCAAAACCAGAACACTTTCAGACACCCAAGAAGTATGATGAAGCAGAGGCACAGGAAATGGCGCTCACTGCTAACCCACCTTGAAATAATGGCTGCATTTCTATTGGTGGAAAATGTTTCAAAGGTTCTTTGGGAAATTTTATTCCGTTGCTTCCATCATACCAATGGGAGTCACGAATCTGAGTGCCTTTTCCTTGGATCCATGCACCGAATGCTCTCAGTGGCAGCACAGATGGCCAGCCTGGGCCTGATTTTGATCTCACACCAACAAAAACTGGGAGTACTTCTGTTGGAGTCAAAGGATTTCACACCATTATAAAAGCAGTGTAAAATCTGAACTGGACCCAGGATCTCCCCTTTTTCTCTCTCTCATTTTAAATATGTCCAGTTACTTTAAGTATAGTTGTCACTAAATTTAGAAAACTTTTATATAATACTGTTCCCCAAATTCTTTCCCCATTGAATGTCCAAGCAGGAGAAATCAATGTCTTTAGCAGTTAAACTCGGATGTGCTTTTCCCCACTCATTTTTTTCCATTTCCTAAATGCTTCCACTGCTAGAAAGCTCCAGTGATGGCCTCATGTTTCAATGAAATCCAGGGACACTCTACTGCAGCATTTCCTGATAAGAGCAGAAACTCCTGTGGTCTCTCAAGTGCTGCAGGATGTACAGCTCAATAACACACTAGACTTGTACAATGTTAAGCCCTCTTGGTGGCCTGAAAGTAAACTGTTTACAAAGCAGGGTTAAAAATATCTGCAGACTCCCTAAAATGTAATTCTTCATTTTGCAAGTCTCATAAAGATGCGAAGAAGATAAAAGTGCCTTCCCCAGCTCAACAGGAATTCACAATAAAAATCCCATTTTCAAGCTGCTGAGGTTTTGGTTTTTTTTTTTTTTTATTTTATTCCTGTTTCAGGATTTTTGTTGATTCAAGACTGGCCTGCAAATGACACAGATCTCTATGCTTTTGAAAATCTGGAGATTATACGAGGCAGAACAAAGCAACAGTAAGTAAACCATGTGCCAGAATGAGGGTGAGAGAAACTGTGTTTACAGCCAGGTTTGTCTAAAGAATAAAAGGTTTTGCAAAACGTGGGCCAAATTCTCTATTGGTGTAAATTTGTGTAGTCCTATTGAAGTCAGTGGAACTGCACCATTTTATACCAGTTTTATACCAATTTGGCCCTGTGTGTCTAAGTGACTGTGTCAAGATATTGTCCCTATTTATATCTGAGAGGAAGGATGGATTTGGGATTGGAGTGCTGGCATGGACCTTGGGAGATGTGGCTTCAATTATTGGTCCTGAGGCAGTCTTCCTCTGTGATCTTGAGCAAGTCACAAAATCTCTCTGGCTCAGATTTTTAAAGGTATTTGGGTGTTGCTCTGCTCAACATTACAACACCTAGGAGCCTAAGTCACTTTTTGAAAATTAGACTTAGGCTCCTAAGTCAGTAAGGCCTGTAACTCAGAGCAGAGCAATGCCTAAATGCTCCAAAAATCTGGGCCTTTGGGCTTCAGTTCCATAGCTGTAAAATGGTGATAATATGGGCTTGTCTATACGCTGGGGCAATACGCTCTACCAGACTGTGATGTCAAAAGCTCACTGATGAGCTGCACATTAATTGGTCTGGGTAAACCCTGCTGATACAGACTAAAGGTTCCCTAGTACGCTTTAACATAGTACTATTTGAAACAGTAGTGCGCATCAAAAGGGTCTACGTGGACCAATTAATGCTCAACACGTTAGTGGGCTTTAGAAATCACAGCCCCAGAGAGCACATTGCCCCACCATGTAGACAGTCCGAATATTTCATTGCTTCCACTCCTTTTCCGTCTTTTATGTAGATTGTTAGCTCTTTAGTACAGATATTTTCTCTTATTCAGTGCATGTACAGTGCCTAGCACAATGGGGCCCTGATCTCAATTGGTGCCTTTAGGCATGACTGTGATATAACTAATGAGTTACAGCAGTGCCCAAAAGTCCTAATACAAATCAAGGCCATGTTGTGCTTGGTGCTACACTAACATGCCGAGTAGTATGGCAGACTCAAGTGCAAAATAATGACTTTAGCTTTACCTCCATAGTATTAGTATAGTATTAGTGCATACATGATGCAATGGGTCTGTCCTGTGTCAGAGGACTTAACTTTCAGTCCCTACAGAAAATCAGATGTGAATATAGTACCTTTACAATACATATGGCATAAAAACATCTGTAATATCACACAAATTAAGTTTGGTGGACCAAGCAACATCTTTCCTTGTAAAACACTCAGTTTACAGTAACCCAGATGGGTCTTCGAAATTCAAAAAGAAAATGTACTCAGTAAGACCACATTTAATCTGTTTCCATCTGTTGTTCTTTTTGCCCCACACCCATTTTAGTGGTCAGTATTCTCTTGCCATTGTTAACCTAAAGATACAATCTCTGGGATTGCGCTCCCTCAAGGAAATAAGTGATGGTGATGTCGCCATTATGAAAAACAAGAACCTCTGCTATGCTGAGACAATGAACTGGAATAAACTCTTTGTGACAGAAACTCAGAAAACAAAAATCACATCCAACAGAAATCAAGACGAATGCAGTAAGTTAATACTGTCCTTTTGTCCCTCTTGGAATGCCATTGTGTGGTGCAGAAAAAGAGATTGTGACCAGTAATTTAAGCAAACCTTTCTTCCTCCTTGTATATTGCCACAAACGAAAATCTTTAAGCTGCAGTTGATGTTGTTAAACCTCCTTTTCTATCAACACAATTACTAAAATTCCAGGCATCAGTTAAAGTGATAGTCGTATCCCCCTCAGCCTCAATTCAAATGTCTTGCCTGCCAAACACAATAATAACCAAGCACTCCTCTGCTCCATAGCCAGCTCCCATCAATGCCAACATATAACCAAGTACAACTCCCAGTCCCTCACAATCCTCCTCAAACACTCAGTCTTAACTCCACCCTCAGATAGATTGAGATAAGTGGCCTGCGTGTAATGGCAAAGCTCATAATGTGGTGTTTCTCAAGGAGAAAGTGTGAGGTAAGAGTTGAGGTGGTGCATTTGAATGTGATTGTGAGGAAGTGGATGTCTTCATTGTGTTTGGTTATATAGTGGAACTGAAAGGGAGTTTGTTGTGCAAGGCAGGGGGGAAATCCTGACTCTGCTGAAGTGAATGAGAGCTTTGCCACTGACTCTAATGGGGCCAGGATTTCACCTAGGGTGGTTGAGAATGCATATGGGTATGATGCTGTGAATATAGTAAGGCATGTGTGTTGCAGCTAATGTGAATGTCTGCTTCAATGGTGACCTCCTGGATTATTAGTTGCAATTTCTGTCCACTTGCATGGCAGAGGCAAGGAAGGTCAGACCCAGAATTTAACTTGTTGCCTGTCAAAGGCTGTGGATGATGCTGTACTAATGTAAACCTGGGAGGAGGGGAGGGAGGGCAGGGGGTTCACCCTTGAGAATATAGACTAAATTGCTTCCTCAGGCTGCCCCGTCTCAGCACTCTCAAAGCCTCACTGAGATTCATGAGCTCAAAATTTTGAGGCATTAGCCATGCAGAACCTAGATTCTGGCAGTTTTGGTCTAAACTACCCTTCCCAGTCACACATTGGCAGAGGCTCGATTTATACATCCCAAATGGGGAGCAATATAAAAAGATAAAACTCTCCTCTGAACACATTCACTTGCACTGTAGGGACTGTGTGTGCGTGTGTTTGCATGATGTTGTACTCAGAAGCTGGCCTACACAGAGGATTAACAATGACCGACAGCTAGGCAAGATCTGCTTTGCTATGGCTCAGCTACTTAGAGGCTTGTTGTTTTGGAGCAGAAGAACAAGGGTGAAAGTTCGAACTCCACATGTTTGACTCATTCAGTCGGGGTCCAATTTGAGCTTCCCATTGACTTGCATGGACATTGGATCAGGCCCTTATCATGTCTCTCTGCAGCATATTGATTTGTTTTATGTTTATGTCCGTTTTAGGAGTAGATTTCTCTACAACAGATTAATCCGTATCTGATTAATAAATAGCCACAGAGCAGCATGTGTTTTTATATTGCAAAACTAACAGTCCCATTTAATTTCAAGCTTTGGAAACTAGAGAAAAGCATGAGTGTTTCTCCTCCTGCTCTGTAATGCTGTCAGGATCCTTCAGATCTACTCTAGGTTAATTTGGAAAAATTGGCTCTCAAAAATGAGTCATTTGTGGTGCTCTAATTACTCTCTATGAAATCCCTGGCTATTGTTTGTCTTTGTCTCTGTCTCTCTCAGCTGCTGCGGAACATGTTTGTGACCCCTTATGCTCAGAAGTAGGCTGCTGGGGTCCAGGGCCATTCCATTGCTTTTCCTGTCGTCATTTCAGTCGCCAGAGGGAATGTGTGAAAAAATGCAATGTTATGCAAGGGTAAGGAGGTTTTTTGGGGGCGGGGGAAGAGGGGAAGGGTTAGTGTAGGAAGAAAAATATTTACATTACTAGGGGGAAATAAAAACCAGGAATTCTAGTAGTATCAATTTTTGTTACTTTTGCAAAAATGTTGGTTTGAATGTGGTACCTAAATACAGAAAAGGGGGGAAGAAATACCCTTCTCTAAGAATACTTAGCAGTCTGTTCCCCAGCATCAGTTGGGGGATGTACATGGATAACTCCCCTAAGACTACTGGGAGAAGACTGAAATTTCAAAGGGGCTTAAGGGAACTAAGCACCCAACTACCATTGAAAATCAAGCAGCCTACCTCCTTAGGCCCTCTTGAAAATCTCAGTCTTTAAGCATATTAGGTGAAATCTTGACCCTATTGTAACCAATGGGATTTTGATACTGACTTCACTGGGACCAGGATTTCACCCAGCCTCATTTACTTCAAGGGGACAACTCAGTGGAGTTAAATTTATGCACATGCTGCAGTGATTTTGCTGGATTGTGGCCTAAACATCTTAAGGTCAAAGTCTACCCTCAGATTCCCAGGCTCCCATCTAAATTACTGGGAGCCTGGTCCAATTTTTACTCACTTTTATTGCCGAACTGCAGTGGAGGCATGATGAACCTAAATACACTGGCCCCAGCACACCAGGACCAGTAATTTCAGGCAGAATAATCGCATCAGCTTGTCTTATGTTTAGCAAAATTTATAAGTGTCCTTGGGTCTTGAAAAGGAGGATTCTCATAATTGTTTGAACCTGTAATATATATGTTAATTTAAAGAAACAGCTAACATCCGTTATGCTGATCCCAAAACTGAAGGATTTTGAATACTCTGTGTTTTTACAGAGCACAAAACGTTTACTCATCCATAGAACTACCAATGGACATATTTTTCCTATTTCCTTTTTACTAATTCTTTAAAGCTTGTTTAACTTTTAAAAATAATTAATATTATGACACTAATTTACAGTATGCTGGTGTCTATAATGTTTATATTTGTCTAGCAATTTGCAGTTCAGCAGCTGTTGTCTTTTCAAGTGAATTCCCTCCAGCAGATATTATGACCTACAGGGCAGATCTGGGCATTTTTTTAATCAAATGATGGGTAGATTTGGTTTAATTAATAACACAATTACTTGAAGTAGAACAGCTTTATTGCTATCAAAACCATCTGTTCTCAGCTTTCATATTTTAATGATTCATTGTGTGTTATAGGGAGGGCAAGAATCTAATTATCAGCCAATTTGTTTAATTTCCCAAATTTTATTTAGAGGCTCAGAATCACTAGACATATTTTTGCTGATCAGCAGTGATAGAAAAAATGTTTTGGAGAATATTCTTCATCTTCATTAAAATGTAAAGACTAATTTGTAGTTTACAATTTGGATTGCCCTGTGTGGCACTTTCAGCCAAATTTTCCTTATTCTCACCTTTTCCTGTGTTATGCCCAGCAAGTAATATTGATGTGCTAGGGCTAGTCAAGAAGTTCTTCCTATATCCCCTCCTATCTCATTATACTCATCCTAATATAGTCAACCTGGAAAAAGTAGTGGAAGCTCTGAAATGTAAATTTGAAGTTGACATCTTGTCAAGTATTCCTTCTATTCCTTTTTTATTTTTCAGGGAGCCAAGAGAATTTGAAAGAGAATCTGAATGTCTTCAGTGTCACCCAGAATGCCTGGTGCAAAATTCAACTGCGTACAATGCAACCTGCACAGGACCTGTAAGAGCAGTTTTGACCTAACAAACTTGTACACATAGAGACCCTGTAACATGGTGAACATATTAAAATACTTAGATATTGAACAACCAGATCATCATAAATTATGACACTTCCCGCTATGGAGGCTAATTTTTGCTTAACTGAGGCAGTGTATAAATAATAACTATGGCTAATAGTGAAATAATTCACTAACTTTTTGCCTCTGAAGACCAAAGATCAGATTTTAATCAACAGCAGATGTTTATTGGAAAATATTAAGAAAGCAGTTTTTATTTAAAACCAAACTCTACACCCCAACACAATTAAAATGAATGCATCTCTTTTAATGTAAGTGCAAAGTATGGGGTCTTTGTAAAAACGATAGTCAACTTTTCCAAAGTTACTTGAATTTTCTGAGTTTATATAAAGGCCCCTTTTATAAAAGTTAAAATACCTTGGTCTTTCCCAATATCCAATGGCAAAATCCTTCTCAGTTTTATCCTTCTCAGATTTTCAAAATACTTTGTTATTTTATGAAGTCTCTACCTTGGCCCGTATGGAAAACAAAGCCCCATCTTTATTCCCCCCATCCCCCCCAGGTTGTAACAAATTCAGCCTTGAGGGTAAGAGTCAATGGAGAGTTGTACTTCTTTACACTCAGGGCTGAATTTAGTCCCTTAGTTTTATTTTGCAGGATATTACAATTCCAGTGTAGCCATTAGCTCAATAATATCTTTTTTAGTAAAGGGATGGGGGGAATTTTCTGTTTCCTGCCAGAGTGTCACTTTTCTTCCTCCCCAGCACCTTACAGTCCCACTCTTGGAAAAACTCCTGCACCCTCCATTGCAGCCACTATCCTGACACAGGACGACTGTCCACCCTTCATCAGTCAGAAAGTCACTGTTCAATAATGCAGGGTACTTGCTTCATTCCGTTATGGCTTAGAACAACGGTTCTCAACCTGGGGTGTCTTCGGCCCCCTGGGGTTCCATGAACAGGTTTGAGGGGGTCTGCCAAGCAGGGCCGGTATTAGACTTGCTGGAACCCATGGCAGAAGCTGTGCCATGGGGCCGTGGGCAATTGCCCTGCTTGCTACCCCCTAATGCCAGCCCTGGCTTTTATATGCAGAAAAATAGTTGTTGTGGCACAGGTGGGCTGTGGAATTTTTGTAACGTGTTGGGGGCGCCTCAGAAAGAAAAAGGTTGAGAACTGCTGGCTTAGAACCCTGGGCCAGATGCCCAGCTACTAAGATTGCAAGCTCCTTGGGGTAGGGGCCATCATTTTGTTGTGTGTTTGTACAGCAGGTAGTACAGTAGAGCCCCAGTCCATGAGAGGGGCTGATAGACACTACAAATAATACACCTCTACCTCAATATAACGCGGTCCTCAGGAGTCAAAAAATCTCACCATGTTATAGGTGAGACCGCGTTCTATCGGGGTAGGGAGAGGAACCGCTCCCTGCCCCAGCTCACCTCCACTCTGCCTCCGCCTCCTCCCTGAGTGCGCTGCCGCCGCTCCGCTTCTCCCTCCCTCCCTCCCTTCCAGGCTTGCAATGCCAATCAGCTGTTTGGCCCTGCAAGCCTTATAGAGAGAGGGGGGGAGAAGTGGAGCGGCGGCAGCGTGCTCAGGGGAGGAGGCGGAGATGAGCTGGAGCGGGGAGTGGTTCCTCTGCGCCCCCCGTTACTTGCTGCGGCCCTTCCCAGGGCCCCCGCGCCCCACCTCACTTCCGTTCCACCTCCTCCCACCAGCGCATCACAGTTCCGCTTCTCCCCCCTCCCTCCCAGGCTTGCCGCGCCAATCAACTGATTGGCGCGGCAAGCCTGGGAGGGAGAAGCAGAGCTAAGCGGCTTGCTCGTGGAAGGAGGAGGAGGAGGGGAGCGGTTCCTCTGTGCCCCCCCACCCATTACTTGCTGCGGCCCCCCTGCCCCAGGTCACCTCCGCTCTGCCTGCACCTCCTCTCACGAGCGCGCCGCAGCTCCGCTTCTCCTCCCTCCCACGCTTGCCGTGCCAAACAGCTGATTGGCGTAGCAAGCCTGGGAGGGAGGGGGGAAAAGCGGAGCTGCGGTGCGCTCGTGGGAGGAGGCAGAGCAGAGGTGAGCTGGAGCAGGGGGGCGGACGGGGGCCGGGAAGGGCCGCAGCAAGTAATGGGCGGGCGCAGAGGAACCGCTTGCGGTAACACGAATTTGGATATAATGAGGTAAAGCGTTATATCAGGGTAGAGGTGTAATACATAAATACATCAGTGTTGCTCCACTGCAGTCAGTGCTAAGGATCTAGCCTACTACTTTCTGGAGCATACCTGGGGCTCCTATGTGGCAATGAACTAGGCCATCAAGGAAGTTTCTCTTTTAAAGTTAGAATAGTCTCTTCATGTTTGTGATTAATTGCTTACTGGCATCATAAAACTAAAAAGTTATATGCTGCTAACATACTGATTGTCATGAACACAACTGATTCCTTCTGATTGTCATGAACACAACACTTCCAGCTTTTGCTTCGGAAAAGGCAATTTTGCCTGGGACTACTTGTTCCTCTGTTTAGAGAGTACCTAGATCATTTTGGGTCCTGCCACAATCTCAGTAAAAACAACATTATTTCAGATAATGGCCAGAGCAATTCACCTAAACTTTAGCTAAAAGCACTTCAGATTAGAAATTTGATGGGCTTTTCTATTTTCACCCAATTTCTCTTTCTGCTTCAGAGTAGAAGAAAAAAATGTTCTCTTAGATTATACAGAGAATGAAAAAGCTTTATGAGTCAGATCCTCATCTGGTATAAATTGATATAGCTCCACTGATTTCAATAGAGTAATGGGGATTTACATTCAATGAGGATCAGGCCCCTTTGATTTTAAACTTATTTGCTCTCAGAGCATCTTTATTCACAGCATTAAACCAAAAAGTAAGTTTTTATTAGGACAGAAAATAGGAAAATTACAGAATAGCAGGAATCATACCTCAGCATTGATACCCAGAGAGAGATTTATTTCATTTAACATCAGGTGCTGTATCTCACCCAGCATATTATACAAAAGGATTAAAACTTTGCAAGCATTTCATGTAGTACAATAATAGGATAATAAACTAGGATAAAACATTGAATCATGTTTAGAATTTCAAATGATCAAACATGCATTTATTTATCTTCTGAGGCTTTTCTTGCATATGCCAATATATGGCTTGGGCAAATCTATTACAGACAACAATTTCTTGCTCTTTATTCAGGGTCCGGACAACTGCATAAAGTGTGCCCACTATATAGATGGCCCTCACTGTGTTAAATCCTGCCCTGCTGGAATTCTGGGTGAAAATGATACCTTAGTCTGGAAATACGCAGATGAAAATTCAGTGTGTCAGCTCTGCCATCTGAATTGTACCCGTGGGTAAGTAAAATACTTGCTTACACAGAAGTGGAAGGAGTAAAGTATTTCTTCCTTGTGATTTTTCTCACTGTAAAGTCATCCATTTGAAAAAAATAGAAAACTAAAGAGGTTATGAATTTGCAGGTAATGTAAGCAAAGTGCTGCTGCCGAGTTTGGAATAGGTAAAGTTCTGTAGTGCTTCTAGTCTGCAAGAAAGGCAAAAAAAGTGGAGAAAATGGTTTAGCAGACTTAAAACAAGGTTATTTTTAAAATTAGACTTTCTGGAATTTTACAAGTTTCCTATGTTATGATTCACTTTTTTTCCCCACCAGTTGAATGCTTTGTCGGCTGTATTTGTCTGGAGCAATAGTGACATCTGGTGGACTGTGAGATCATTTATGAACATGTTTCTCACAAGAGTACTAAGTATGTCCCATGCCTTTAAGATGAATGTAATAGTATGAGTGGCTGCTCATGTATCTCATTGTGACTTTTGGTGTTTTGCTCCAAAAAAATCACAGATTGTCTCAAGCATACACTGCATTTTAATGCTTCCCAGAGGTTCCTCTCTTTTCATATGCTAAGAACATCCGAGCTGCCATACTGAGTCAGAGTGTGGTCCATCTTGCCCAGTATCCTGTCTCCATCAGTTGCCCATACCAGAGCTTCAGGGAGAGTGTACAGAACAAGGCAATTTCACCTGGGTTGGAATTTAGGGCTTGTCTGCCCTATCAGTACAACTGTGTGACAGGGCCTGGCTGCAAACACAGTTCCATTTTGTGGTACAGCAATGGACTGTCCAAGGCACTAGCATAGTTCAGAGACACAGTGAAGTTTTCATCTATAATGGGGTCCCCTCATACACTTGCATTTGTGCGCTTACATTAGATGCACAGAAAGAGGGACGGCATTTGAAATTTGACTCTTGTCCTGCATTGGTTTCAAGGAATGTTCTCTCATTGGTGTTTTTTCCCCAAGGGGCTTTTCCTCTATAGTAGTGGAAATCTTACCTCAAATGCTCACCTAAGTTAACTAAGAGAAGATTTATACACTGCACTCCCAGGCTCAGATTGCCATTTGACCCAAGTCTCATGTCCTCCTCATGTATTCAGCTACCTCCCTGCCAAGCCTTGAAAAACAGAGCCTGCTTTTGACAAGGCACAAACCCGTACATTCATGGAGAGAAAGAAAGGAGGGGGTTAAATAGGCTACACTATCACTTCATAGATGACTGGAAGCTGTGGAAGTAGAGAAAGAACTGACAGGGATTTGAAGGGGATTTCAATGCAAACAGTCCCCTCTGTGAGCAAGAGTCAGGCTAGCTGTAACCCTAATAACGCGAGATTTGTAGAAGCGAGGATTGTGTGAGGCGAGTGGGAAAGAACTACGTGAGAAGTTGTTGCGACCTTGTGTTAGATAAGTATGGAATGTAGACTATAGTCTAAATAGAGGTGAGAAAAATAAAATATCAGGATGACCTATGTATAAACAAAATGCAGCTGTTGCTCATTATTGTATGTAACAAAAGGTATAAATGCTTGCTGTAATTGTTTACCTGAAGAGAGACCTGTTTAGGTCTCTCCCTCCACACAATTCCTAGAGATAATAAAGTCTCTGACTTGCTGCACCCAACCTGAGAGTGAGAACTCTGTTTTTCTCCGACAAAGCTAAGGGCTTGTCTACAAGTAGAAGTTAGTGCGCAGTGAGCTAGGGTGTGCAAGTAAAGTGCACTAGCTATTCCACACTAGCTCCTCATGTAACTTTCAAAATGCACTAAGTTCAGGCACACAAAGCACTCTTAATGCACAGTAACAGTGTCCACATGGGGAATTACTGTGCACTAGGTACTGTGGGCTTTTTCCCAATATAGACACGCCTGAAGCCAGTATTTCTCAACCTTTTTGATATCGGGGATCAGCTTACTGCCTTCTTAAACTGTCAGAGAGATCTCAGGGACTGGCGCCAGTCTATGGATTGGTCATTGAGAAACACTGCCCTAAGTCACCTGGTGTGTTTCAAGTCTTCATGAAATTCAGTGCAGTGTTTTTCAGATTACGTCATATGGATTGATGATTTCCCTGTGTTTTATCATGATTGCAGACAAAGGTTGTTTGTGCTTTTCAATCATACAATGAATGTTCTTCATTGAAAAATGACACTCCAAGTAACCATTACCATTAGTTCCCATTGATAGAAACTTGGCCATAGTAAACCAGTGTCATTGTTACATGATTGCCCATGTGAAAGCATAGAGTCACAGAGCCATTCTATCATCTAGGTTGACCTCTTGTATGTCACAGGCCACCAATACCACCCAGCACCCGCACACTAAACCCAGCAACCAAAATTAGACAAAAGTATTACAGCCCACTTTAGCTGATAGCTTTAGCAGAACGATGGCTAACCATGTCTAAACAAAGCTTTTAACTGTGTGGTTCTGCTAGAAAGATAGAAAACTGAAGTCAAATGAACAATACATTGTTCAACAACAATACGTCAATACAATACAAGTTGCTGAATCTGGATGTAGCTGTCAGTTCTGTAACAGCTTGTTGTGCACTGTTTATGCCTCAGCACAGAGTTTTAAGCAGTTTGAATTTCACCAGGGATGTCAACTTTTCCGCTGGCTTGAGCAGTAGAGAGGTTTAAGATGGCAGAGCCATGGAGGATGAATGTGTAGTGGGGCAAGATTATTCTAATATCAAAAAAAGGTTCAATGTTTTCCACCATATGACATAGTAAAGCAGTGAATGAAGACTAAAATTCAAATTCATCTCTGATTTGAGTAAGATGTGGGGTAAGTTTGCAGTTGTTGTTTATTTGTATTACAGTAGCTCCTAGAGGTCCCAATTGAGACCAGGACGCAATAGCTGCCCAAATACATAGCAAGAGGCAGCCCATTCTCCAGGCTTTGGCATAAGTTCCCCATTTTGCTCTGGGATTGTGTACTCACCAGTTCTCTCTTTCTTTATACTTGCTGTTGAGGATTTCACTTCTTTTTCAACTTTTCATAAGGCAAACAGAAAAATGCATCCATCACTTTTTCAGCCCAAATGGCTCTTTCTCTTCCACCTCCCTCTCTAACAGCTTGGGGATTTTTCTGCACTAACTCTCTCTGTCTCTCTCTCCAAGTACAGCTGAGAAAGTACACTCCATTTAAAGAGAGAGTAACTACTCCAAAGCCCTGGAATTACCCAGGTCAAACTTCCAGCAACTAATGAAACACATTAACAAGATTAATCTCTCAAACATGAGTGATTTGAATTTCCCTAATTGTTTTCCCAGGATACTACAAGTAAATTTCATTCCAGCTGGTGTGGTAGTGCAGTAAGAACTACAAAGAGAGAGGCAGAAGTATAATTAATCGTTCTGGGCTTCATCACTGATAGAGCCCCCCTACAAATTTAGTTACCACTGACTTATATATTCTGAGATCAATCATGTTAAATATCCAGGAAGAATTTTTGCAGCCATTGCATGTGTGGGACATATTTTCCTGTCATTTAGAAGGTTAATGAAAAAGAAAGGAGAGAGGAAAGGTCTTTTAAGGCTTTAAAAAAAGCCCAGTGGTTTCCCATTTCATTTATGACTGTGAGGTAACCTGTGCTGTTACAGTCTGAGTCTCCTCTGAAAGGCCATAAATAAAAAAAAACTGGCTATATTACATCAAATTAGAAACAGTGAGTTCAGGAGAAAGTTGTTTAAAATCTTGATGGAACTGGGAAATAATCAGTTGTATCTGCACCGAGACAATTAATATTTATGTAAACAGATGAAAAAGTTCCAGATAGCACCAGGATAGAATTGTTTCAGGGGCTGTATGGTGCTCTAATTTTACAATAAGTGGATAGCAGAGAGAGATTTCAGAGTACACTCACCATTAGGTTCAGGCTAATATATACTTAAGATCCCCAGACAGTTTATAATACAAGGTCACATTTCTCATTTTAGTTTCTGTAAGAAGTAGAGGAAAAATAATTCAAGAATGGGGAAAAAGTGATATTTTAGATTCCATAAAACATAGCTTACTTATGTTAGGAGTCATCATAAAATTCCACTTTAAGAAAGATGGTTATATTTAGCCTTGGGTGGATATTTGTTATGTACTTTGCTTCTCCTTTGACTTGTGAAATGAATCAGAAAATCACATGGGATTTGAAAAGCACAATCTGATCCATCATTTTTCTCCCCAAGCATCTTTTAACTTTATCTTGGTACCCTTCACATTGATGGATTTTTATGGAGTTCCATACTAAAGACCACAAATGAAAATCGACACCCTTTTTTCTGCCTCTAGTTTCTAATCTAATCTTTCAGACTATGGGCATTAAGGGAGCATTTCCTTTGTTGAGAATAATACATCTTCTTTTGAGACAGAAACCATCTGGAGAATTGCTCAGAATGAAGGGAGCATGGAAACTGGAATTTTGTAAAAGAAATGCCCTTGAAGAGGTTATACTGGTGGCCTGAAATAATGTTTTATTTGCACAGCTATACCAGAAGAGGGTGTTGTACACCTTTTCCCTTCCATTCATTTAGCGGTGTTAGAGGGTGGTGGGACTAGAGCTTGCATCCTAGGCAAATATTCTAGTCAGCTGACCTAAAGGAGAAGCCCTGTGCAATCTCATGCACATTCCCAGGTATCCCCTCCGTACACACACACACTCACACTCACACTCACACTCACTCACTCGTTATGTTTCCTTATACAACTGAACAAACAAAGAAAACCATAACCAGATGAAGGACATTGGCAAAGTTGCACACTCAGGCTTCAGGAACCAATGTGCAAAATACCTGAAGTGTGTTCTGGACACCAAGATGCAAATTCTTCTATGGGAGCTCAATGCACTCACTGAACCTTTCAGACTCTGAGCCCTGTTGCACTGTGTTAGCACTGAAAACACAAGGAAAGATTAGAATAACAAAGATAGATCCAAGAAAAGGAGCAGTAGGCCCCCCAAGGGCCTAGAATAATTTATGGACTAAATTCTCCATCTCCACCTGCCATTTTAAAATGGCTCAGACTCCTTTTTCCTACTAATGGAATTCAGAACTGCATTCCTGGCCCTGGCTTACTCCTTATCCCCTGCTTGACCTACTCTGTGTCTGCTTTGAGATGATGTATTTTCGGTAAGAGAGGGAGGCAGAAGCCCCAGATTGGACTCTTCTCCTTGCTCGGCTCCATTTTTCAGAAATGATGTGATTGTTTCTGCAGTGCTGTCCTCTCCTTGGTAGATACCACAAGGACCACAATTTCCAGGAGGCGCACACATCTTACCACTCAGCAGTACTTGAGAATGTTCTGTTTATCTCATACTCTGGCACTTCCAGTTGGAATATGCAGTCACTGTATTTTCATCTTCAAACTGTAGCTGGGGTGTTCATTATATGCTGTCTGCCAAAATAAATTTAAGGCATCTGGATGGTGGTGTGCATTTACACTAATACAGAGGGTGAAATGACTGATTCCTGGGAGGATTCTACATAATATCGTATACATAATATACATTCGAGTACAAATCTACTCAGTGTCAGTAAAACCTGATGCTAGACCCTCAATGAAAAATATCATAGATTCTTATATGGATGGTGCACCCAGTGGTAGAATAGTGCAACCAAATACCATACTATTCACTGATGAAGAGATGTGTCTGCTAGTGATATTTTTCATTAGACTAGAAGACCTGGACACTGACGTCCTTTACTGATCCATAAAACAGGTGCCCTACAGTGTGGTAAGCAGCAATGCAAGCTTTTCCTCATAGGCCCATGCCTTGTATGAAGGATCTCCCCTAGTGAAAGGTTAGTTCTGTCTCCAGACGTATTCAGTCCTTGCCGCCCTGTTAACAAAAGGGCCAGCCTGTTGCAGTGAACATTTGCCCACTCAGAGCAAGATCACTAGCTTCTTTCACACAGGCCACCAAACAATTCTTTGTGATCAGTTGTTTTGTGCACCCCCAGGTTAGGGATGAACAAGTCAGTTCTTTTGAAGTTGTTGAATAAGGCAGCACTTGTAGAGACTGCAGAGGTATTGGGGGGAAAAAGAAGCCAGGGATCCATGGTGCATGGTCCATGTTCATAGGCAGACATTCATAAATTGTCCTTTCAACTGAATATACAGCACACCTTAGCCTGTGGACCCTGATTCTGCAGCAAAGCTTTCAAAATAACACTCCCAAAAAGTTTTATAATTATTAATCAGAAAGTTAATATTCTGACAGCTTTTTAAAAAGGTAAGTTGTGAATGACAATACAGTTATTCCAGAGTAGGTGCTAGTGCTAATATATATTTGTAATTATCGTTTTTTACAGGTGCAAAGGACCAGGTCTTGAAGGCTGTCCATTGGGGTAATTATTGCATTCATCACAATTAATGATATAGTTGGGAAGAACATATCCATATTTACATTTTTGTGCTGGACACTGCATAGTAGTGCCCTGATTCAGTGAAGCATGTCCTTAACTTTAAGCATGTGAATAGTCCTGTTGAAGCCAATGAGACTACTCGAGTGCTTTAGTGCTTCGCTAGCTGAGGGCCTAGATGTATGGGACTCTTGTTGCTGTCAGTGAGAGATCTGTGTACTTCAAGTGCATAGTTTCTAAGGTAAGATCCTTTGTGAGAATCTGAAAGCAAAATTCTGTTCTTATTTTGTATTGAAATAACTGTTTTAAAATCATCAAGACAAACAGAAAGAGTAAGTAAATCACCATCCAATGTGGTGCTTACCATACAGTGTCTCTTCAAAATGGTTTTAAAACTATTTGAGCAGATAGTGATATACAGAATATAAAGAGACCATGACAATGGTTCACAAATCCTAGTGCTGAGGCTGTGGAGGAGGGGGGAAGCGGAGGAGGGGCTCTGGCCGCCGCTGCCAGCCCCGCCGCCGCGTTCCGCACAGGTGCACAGCCCCGCCCCCCAGCGCTGTCGGGCGGCGTGGTAAGGCTGCAGGGGATGGGGAGAGCCGGGAAGGGACTTTGGCTGCCGAGGCCCCAATGCGAGCGGCGCTCGGCCACCCTGTCAGCCGCTTTTCGCTCTTTAAATAGCCGACCTGGGGGAAATCCCAGACATTTTTAGATTTTTAGAAATCCCCCCTGGACGGCTATTTAAAGAGCGAAAAGCTGGACATGTCCGGGGAAACCCGGACGTATGGTATCCCTATATAAACTGTTCTATTTCAAACCTGCAACTGAAGCCATTTTGAAGTTTAAAAAAACCAAACAACCAGCTCTATATAAAACCCCAAAAACACTGAATGAAAAACTTCAGACTATTGACACCCATGTTGCTTGAATGTAGGTAGATCAAAACTGATCTGAAGCCTGAAGCCTTCAATTGATCATGTTTCTAACATGGAATGCTGTATTGAAAATACACCATTTGTTATTTCTTATACCAAAACAAACCTCTTTCCCCTTTTTTGTCTTCTAGCTCCAAAATCCCATCCATTGCAGCTGGTGTTGTTGGAAGTATCCTTTGTTTGGTTGTGATAGCCTTGGTCATAGGCCTTTACATGCGCAGACGTCACATTGTTAGAAAGCGTACATTGCGCAGGCTGCTTCAGGAAAGGGAGGTACGTACTATAAACAGTTTCTAAATATATTGACCAACTTTATTGATGTGCCACAGAGTCTCAGAAAGAGCTGTTTTATTAGGCCCTGACCTCACCCTAATACAAACATAAAGTACAATATTATCTGGTGTTTGGATAACATGTTATCTGCAGTTCTACTCGGAAAAGTGACTATGTAAATATGACACCATATTACTTAATCTCAGATCTTATCTTGGTGGGTAAAAATTGCAATAGCTCATAGGTGAGTTAGGTGCCTAATTTCCACTGAAAGTCATTGGAAATTAGGCTGCTGAGTCACTTAGGTGCTTTTGAAAATACTACCCTGTTATGATCTGCTTACTCTAGTGACAAAAATAAGGGATTTTTTTTATGGCTGTTTTTACTACTCGTTACTCCTGTTAGTGCTGCAGAGCCTACACAGCTCTGGGACGCTAAGCTGGATTCTGTTCTGGGGCACACATCATGAACAGAACTTTATGGGCTGAGTTTCAGTTTCAAAGCCAATGCTGCCTTCAGTTGCCCCTGTTCCATTCATGTCTTTTTTTGGAATACTATTGCTCCCTAAACTTGAGCTTAACAATAGTGAAAACAGAAGTCTTTTATTATACTATTGGCTACAGTTTGTTTAGTGCAGGGAGTGATAACCTGAGAGATTACTCGTACCAACCACTCCACATGGACAACAATGTCAGCCTGAATGTAGAAATCTCCCTTAAAGCCGTTGCAAGACAATGTGTTCACCATGCTGGATGAGAACTGGGCTTTCATGCTTCTTGTACTAAACTTTATACACTGCATGGTATAGACTTCATATGGGTTATAGTATTATCCTCTGGGTATTTTACATGTGAAACACAAAATGCATTATCCAGGATCAAAACAAATCAGGTACGACTCTTCCCTTTCTCCTTCCAATTCAGTTTTAATAAGCTACTAGCAAATTGTATTCACAGTTCTACTGAACACCCTGTTTCCCTCGCTAGCTTTGCCAAATCAAGTGATAAAAGTCCTGAAGCTGCCCTACTTTTTGCTACATTACCTAGCAACCTTTTAAGAGCCTCCATATTCTACAGTTGTAATGTTATAGCACATATTGTGTTTGGTTCACATTATACATTTTGTACTCCTTAATATGAGAATCGTTAACTGAAACAGGAAAATGGCTGGCATGCAGAAAACAGATCTGTATCCAGGCTAAATGTGGGCTTCCAGTTAGGAAAGCTATTCAGGAGAAGGACACAACAAGACGGTAGTAAAAGAGGACTTTAAATATTAGGAAAGTGCCTAATTTCTCATTTGTTGTTTCCTTAGAAAAAATACTGCAACAAAATTCAAATCAAATAAATAAAATCTATTAGTCAACTTAAAACCCCCTTTTTAGCCTGGATAACTAGATAATCTTACCTTAGCATTTGCAGTAATTCCCTATACTAAGCATAGAAACTACTTCTAATACCATAGTAAATTCATCTAGTTAAGCAAGGCAAAGCTACAAAGTTTCAGGGTGACCACAGTGTAACCTTTTAAAATGTAGATAGTTAACTTCTGACTTATTTTTAGAAACAAATCTTTAATTAAACTGGTCAGCATTATGTGCATGTTTTAAGGGTATAAATTTTACATCCTAAAATGAACAATAACATCTCTCCACTTTCTTTTAAAATTTTAGTTACCATGCCAAGGTCACATTCTGCTCTCACTTATGCTACATCAATCTGGTGTAATAATTCCATGGACTTCATTCTTGTCTCATTTATACAGGTGTAAATCTGGAGTAACTCCACTGAAGTCATGAACTCCGGAGATACTCTAGATTTTCATAGCTGTAAGTCAGAGCAGAATTTACCCCACGTATACTTCATGTGGGACAAAATTTACATTATTGCCAACAGTTTTTGCTCAGTTTCAATAGTTGTGTGCTGCTTGCCTTCCTCCTTTACAGTATATCTTTCTAAAGTCCAATTCCTTTGTACACAATAGCTCGTTGAACCTCTAACACCAAGTGGCGAGGCGCCAAACCAAGCTCTTCTGAGGATTCTAAAGGAAACAGAATTTAAAAAGGTCAAAGTTCTAGGCTCTGGAGCTTTTGGAACTGTTTATAAGGTAAGACCACCATGTTTTTCTCACCACACACACGCACACAAAGCCATCTAAACAGTGTATGCATTGGAAGCTGAAAACATAGTCGTGGGTTTTTTTTGAGTTATTTTCAAATCATCTTTAGCTTGGGCCAGGTAAAGTAGATGTGTGAATCTGTGTGTGTGTGTGAGTGAGAGAGAGAGAGAGATTGAGAGAGAGAGAACACACAAGAAGTTTTTCATAAGATCTTATGAGAGCCATACAGCTGAATATGGAGCCGATGTGTCTATTTAAAAAAGTACCACTGCCAGAAATACTTTCTTTGGGATGTTAAAATATTAAGAAGAGAAATCAAAGTATGGCCAACTCAGTCTATTGTGCTAAGCAAAATTTTTATTTTTTTATTTTTATTTTTTTTTATCTTCTCTTTTTATTTGTGGATCACTTTTATTGGGTCAAAAGAACCCCACAGGGTTACAGAAAAGCAACTGGAGCCTTTCTAGTGTATCGTTGTGCAGAATGATTTCCCTCCCCCTCCACACTCCCATTATTCTTCCTTCTCTAGAGAGTATCTCTCTAAAAGATTTCTCAGTGAGGAAGCTTCAGGGATGTTTTACACCATTTGGTACTGAAATGTAAAATATAGATTTACTTATCACATTTTAAGTTTAGATACTTGGGGGCAGATTTTCAAATGTGCCTAAGAAATTTAGGAGCGCAAATCCCTTGTGTGCTTTTGAAGATTTGCCCTTTTGACCCCAAATACCCGTCTGCCTAAATGATTATGTAATGCAATAGACGATGAACAAGAAACCATTCTGACATGAATTTACTTCTCATAATATATATAACGGATTGGATTATTGTGTAACCCTTGGAGCAGGCTGGCTGAAATTTAGTTTCACGTGAGAAAACCCTGATTCCCATCATTCAGCAGCTTATAACTTAGAAGTCACACAATAATCAACACAGTGAAAAACGAGTTCAGCAAAGACTAGTAATGTCCAGTTGTGTCCAACTTGCATGTACAATTGCCGTGATTGTTAGCACTAATTAGATATTGGTGCACACATATTGCCATTTATGCATCTTCTGGGCTCATTGCACATGTGACTCAAGGTAATTGCACATGCATGTTTTTGAAAATCAGGCCCAAGAGATTGAGACAGATGCCACTCCATTAACAGGAGTCTACCCAGAGAGAGTGACTGCTATATACCTCCTTCGCTGCCTGCTTAGCCTCCCCTAATTGTTGCTTAGAATGTTTCAGTCTGGTCTGAAAACATCATACATATAAATGTAAAAACATGCATTTGCAATTACCTCAGCAATAGTGAATCACTGGGTTAAGGACCTAGGTAACCTTTCTTCTTCTTTTTATAGGGGCTCTGGATTCCGGAAGGAGAGAAGGTTAAAATTCCTGTTGCTATTAAGGAATTGAGAGAGGCTACCTCCCCAAAAGCCAACAAGGAAATACTTGATGTGAGTTTTCATCTTTATTTGGTACTATTAAATCTTTGCTGATGGTTTTCTTAATGGGAGGAAAAACGAGAGGAAGATTGTGTCCCCGGAATACCTGTAGCATTGATGACGTTTGCTTTGCATTTATATCAAGTGCACAAGGCATCTTTAGCCTTTGAAGGACTAATTTTCAAATCAGGGTTTCCTATTGCCAGATATAGTGAGCTGGTGTGGAGAAAAGACCAAGATAATTGTATACAAATACTTGAAGGGTATATAAATGTAGGTAAATGGTGAGAAGTTGCAGAGCTCTCTAACCCTGCTCCCACTGAACTCAGTAGGAGACCCATCTGCTCTCATTGTAGTCAGTGGGGGGTTTACCATTGACTTCTATGGGGGCAGAGTTAGACCAAAAGCAGAGCGCTTTTTGAAAATCCTACCTTGGAATGGTACAAGCAATAATGACATGAAATTTTAAAATATCAAATTAAGACTGATTATCCATTAAAACATTCTAACAGTGATATCTATTAGACAATGGAACAATCTGCCAAGAGAAAGTGTGGAAGCCCAATCACTTGAGATGTTTCAAATAAGACTGGAGAAAGATAATAGTGTGACACAATCTCTCCAATTGCTCTCCCAACTCCTCAGGGCTTTACAGAAGTTACGGGATCTAGCTCTAAACAATGTTAAGCTATTTTACTAGCAGCAGAATAGTTGATGGTATTTTAAAATGGAATGAAGATGACAGTATTTTAGGCTAATAATTCCACTCTGTGCCTGCTGTGCATTCCCTCAAAAGTGTGGTTTTGAGATACAGCAGTCACCATTAAAAAATCAACATTTGTTGACAACTGGCGCATCCTTAACCAGGCCAGCCAAATCCTGCAGCCACTCTGTGTGTGGTTAGTCTGTGGGTACCATTGCATTCCCTTTACCTCCCATGGACCTCTTTGTGCATAGGTCATTAACTAACATTGTGCACAGGGACCTTGATTTGGTGCTAAGGGGCATGTTAAACAGTGAGCTTAAGGCAGAGACCATCTCTTTGTTCTGTGTTTGTACAGCGCCTAGCATAGCAGGGTCCAGGTATGTGACTGGGGCTCCTACGTGCTATGGTAATACAAATTATAACAATAATAATGATCACTAATGCTCTTTGGACCCTGATATTTCAGAGTATCCTAGATTTAAATGCATGGTTACATAGGACTAAATGAAATGTTTAAAAAAAAAATCTGTCTGGCTCATGTGCCACGGAAACTGTGAAAAACCATCTGGCCTTGTGAACAAATCCAGGGATCACAGAAGCCAGTTGGATTTTATTTTGTTTCTTGGATCTAGCCCATAATTACAAAGGGGAAAAAAAACTCGTATGAATTCCACTTCTAATATGCTTGGACAAGACAGACACTCAGTGACTCACAGGTAGAGCTGGTCTGTGTCTGGACCCGTTCCCAAGCCCCAGGCACTATCTACACCAGCCTGGAAGGGGAGATACATTGCACAAGGTTTAGATCTGGTACAGGGTATCTCCCACACTGAGCCAGGGGGAAACGGGGGATGGAGTGTGATTCTGAGTCATAGTCTGCCTCCCAGGGCTGCTCCAAGGGCCGCCCAACAATGTACTGCCCCTTGCTTGGAGATCACGGTATACATATTGTAGAAAAAAAATATGTATGCATATGCTGTAAATATCTGTGAGTGATAAAATATGCATATATTTACATGGATGAACTATAAACCCAGATCCAGGGATCCTTGAGCTTAGGGAACAATCTGGTATTGAGGCAAATCTGAACTTTGCTGTTTGAGCCTAACTTGTATGCATATATACACATACACTTTATGTCATCCAAGAAAAGTTCTATTAAAAGAACCTGAAGCTTGCAAACACAAGCAAAGGTTAGGAGATGCCAGTATAAAGGTTGCTTATGCAACCCCTGTGTGTGTATGCATTTTATGGTACAGTCTTTAATTACATCAGTGATACTCAAACCTCAGTGATTCAGGAGCCAAATTAGCAATCAACATTACCCAAAAGACTGGGGAAATATTTAGTTTATATGTCTCACAGCAAATAAGTTCAATAACTCAGTGCAAGTTGATAACTTAATTGGTTAATAACATAGTAAAAGCCTTCTGATTTGTTAATACCTTAGATTGGTTAATAATTAAATCACGTAGTGTTTTAATATCACTTGCTGCAAAGAGTCACTGGAGACGCATTAAAGAGCCACTTGAAGCTCGAGAGCCGCAGTCTGAATATCACTGTATTACATGATCACATACTATTTGCATGAGTCCTACTAAGCCCCTGCAGCCCTGGGCTGGAGCATGCTCAGTAGCTCAGTGGGACTGGTGTGTGCACAGTCTGGTCAGCACATACATAGCTGTGAGAGGCTGAGCGTGCTCACTACAACTGGACACTCCCGAGATTTTAGCTTACAAACTCTTAACAAGTCTCTACTAAGCATGCGCAAACTGTGATTTCGCAGAAGCTTGTAACTTGGGTAATTTGGGGAAATGTTCATGGGAATGGCAAAAGGCATTTCCCTGTCACCGTGGCAATCCCCCTGCCAAATTTCAAGATCCTGCCCCAAAAGCATGGAGGTGCTAGAGCTTCTCAATGAAATGGTTGCAAGCATTTTTTTTTTTTTAACGTGGGCAAAACACTATATTTTTCCCTACCCTCAGTCGCAGAAGTGACTGAACTATTTTAGCTGAAACTTTCATCAACAACAACAACAACAACAAAAATCAGCCTGAGACTGACACCCGGCCTGGAACATTTCAGCCTAAATGGTTAAAGTTTGGCAAAATGATAAGCAACTGAAAACATAGTCTCACAATGGGGAGGTATTGGGCAACCTTAGCTATGGGCCACTTACAATAAAGCACTTTTGAATCCTCATTTCATCCTAGAAAAACTTTCTATTTCATATATATTTTAGTGTATTGATATGGCACATCATTTTATACATATACTGTTGAAATACAAAAGAAAAGGTGGTTACTTTCAGGACCAATATGTCAAACAAAATTCCTGCTGATTTAAGTTGTTTTACTAAAAACTGGCTATGTATTCACAAACACCGTCCATGTATCTGCCCTCTAACAGGCAGACACAAACAAAGGATGCAACCATACTATCAACTCCCTGCTTCAGGAAAACCTATGGCAAAAGGAAAACTCACTGATATTCCTCCTCATGGAATATTTTTAGCCTTACTTAATAACAGAAATAAAAAGGACATTAAAAAGCTGATGTAAACGGTTATGGAGAAAATAATACAAACTTGACAAAAGCTGCCTTGGACCTAATTGTACTAAATTCATGTAGAGCGAAGGAAGGGTTAATTAATAAGCCAAAATGATTGCCTCTGCATTCAGCAGATCAAGCTATTCCCATAGCAGGACAGTAGATTGTGACATGTGTGCTCTTCTGAGATATCAAAGTACTATTTTTTTTAAACAAAGTTCAGATATCGCCACATGATCTTTTTTTCTTTTTCCCATTGAAGTAGGATTCTTAGCAAGCGGCTCTTACCATTTTTAGCACTGTTTACTTTTTAGATGACTTAGTTGATGGAATTCATTCCACATTTCACAGGAAAAGAAAAGATACAAAGCGTTGGAAGCAGAGAGACAGAGAAATAAACAGAACTTCAAAAAGATTTTACTGAACAACTCTCCAAGGTCACTGATCCCTTGGAGATAGTGGCTAATTAATTAGCCACTTTCTGTAAGAAGAATCGCTAGGTATTCAGCATGTAAAACAGCATTTGTTCATATTCAGTTTATTCTCCAGCCACAACTCCTGTTGGCTTTATTAGGGCAGGGCTAATTCAGGAGATTTGTTACGAAATACCAAGCATAGTTGGAGCAGGTCAGAGCGTACCTCAGAGATTTCCAAGATAAATAATTGAAACAAAGACTTGCTTTAATTTAGTAAAATATTTAAAGAGACCTGTGACTGCACAATGGTTCCATTATAAGTTCAATGATTCTTCAAAGAGGCTATGGCCTATTTTACTTTGCAGTATCAGATTTAATAGGCAGTGTCAAATCCTGGAAGAACTCCATACTCCGTGTGGCCCATACACCCACTCCACACATTCAGTTCCCAATTTCCCAGCCTTGAGGTCTGCTCCTTGTAGGCTGTGAAGTAGATGGGCAGTGAGAACAGCTCTGAGTTTGCAGATTTTTCATTCAGCTAAAATGAATTCAATATGGATCTGAGACTAAACAGGAAACAGTACAAGAAACAGACTTTCTTTATTGCTGTGCTTACATGGTTTTTAAGCCCATTGGGATGAACATAATTAGGCCTCTGTTCATATGGAATCATCTTATAGAATGTGTGAGGCATTGAACCAAGAGGTTCTATATAAATTAATCTGAAAACCTGTATAATTTAGTAGAGAATGACATACTTTTCTTCTAATTTTTAAACCATGTAGAATTTAATTGGCAATTATATCCTTCAACTAGAATTCTATAGGTTATTTTCAGTATTTTGTAGTAAGGTGATCATTCTTTATCCAGTTCTATAGTAATGTTCTGTGATCCTTCTGTCCAGGAACCCTTTGTAAAGGGCATCATGAGGGTGGGTTATGTGTCAAACAAAAAACAGAGTTATCCCTCAAAGCAGACCTCTCAACATCATTACCTCAGTATCATGTAATAAATATCATGTGTCAGTAATACATATCATCCTTAGGCTGGCAATGTGAAATAACAGTGCAGTGGCAAAGGAAAATATTGCTCATGGATTTCAGATTTTTTTAACGTCATTGCATAAATGCGCTTCTAACAATAGCCCCGTGCCAGCCTCACAACTAGGTGACATATGTTAAAAGCTTGTTAGATGATGATTAAACTGCTATCATATTGTATTTCTTAAGCCTTTCTAAAGAGCAGAACATTTTCTACCTCCACCACAGAAGTGTCTCGACTTTGTTTGCTTGCATGCTTGTTTTGGGCTGCCATCTGTCAAGGGTGTCTGATGTCATTCCAGATGCGGATTTAAATGCTGACCTAAAAGTTCACTACGTGGAAAATTTCCCACTTAGTTCTGTATTAACTTTGTGTCATAAAAAGAATAACCAAAAGCAATATCCTGTAGATCAGGAACAAAAACAAGTAAAAATATGATGGCTAAACATTAAACCTGATTTTTCCATAGGGCCTCCATTTTTGAGTGCATAACTTTGTGCTTGCAGTTCACAGTGGGTATGAAAACTAGCCTGCAAAAAATGGAAGTCCCTGTTTAAAAACCAGACCCAAAGATGCTCTAAAGTCAGGAGTGAGAAGGGGGAAAAAACCTACACTGGTAGTTAATAATTGAATGCCATAACTGGCCATTGCGTGCACAAAACCTTGATAGATATTTATTTTTGGCATGATTGTGTTAATGAATGCGCATGGTAGGTGAGCATTTGCTCACACGTTGTTGAAAATCAGGCCCTAAAGTTCTATCTAATTACAAGGCTGTTCTGATGGAAGGTTGATTTCATCCTGGCTCCCAACTGTATAAAAATGCATTATAAACACCTTCATTATATTGCTCACATTGCCATAACACATAAAAAAAGCTTTACCAGTCAGGGCCAAGACTTTCAAAAATGGTTGCTTAAAATTAGGCTCCTAAATCCTCATTTAGGCTGCTAAATATGTTTCCTGATTTTCAAAAATGCTGGGCACCTAGCAGCTCCCATAAAATTTGAAATTATTAAGTCCTGTTAGGTTTTTGTCTCTGGAAGTTTGCACTGAACACACTGCTTGGTATACAAGAACCAGGAAAATGGGTGGCCCTGGTGCCATTTTAAATGATGTCTTAACATTCAGAATCAGGACCGCTCAATGCAGTGGAAAATATGCATTAGAGACCCAACATTTTACAAAAAGGTTCAGTAATCAGGAAAATGCCAGATTTTTGTTTGTTTGTTTTATTTTTACTACTGCCTCTTGCATCCTAATATTTCTGTCATACATGAGGGACTGTTTCAGGATGTCTTCTCTTTTTCTGATCAGGAAGCTTATGTGATGGCTAGCGTTGACAATCCCCATGTGTGCCGCTTGCTGGGAATCTGCCTTACTTCTACCGTCCAGCTTATCACACAGCTTATGCCTTATGGCTGCCTCCTTGACTACATCCGAGAGCACAAGGACAACATTGGCTCCCAGTACCTTCTCAACTGGTGTGTGCAGATTGCAAAGGTAAATGAATGGCAGCACAATCCATCCAAAACTCTGATCATAACCGAAACCAAGAGATCTGAAAGTATGTAATCTAGCTATCCTCTAGGTCTTTGTATTTTACCTGAGGATAGAAAGGCTTGTTGTACTTGATACTTAAGATAACAACACTTTTCATTTGTGTAGTGCTTTAGATTTTCAAACCATTGTGTAAATATTAACTGATCCTCAGAACATTCCTGCACAGAGCAGGGTTATCACCACTGGACAAATGATGAAACTTGCACAGATTGCAATTGAATGACTTGCCCAAACGTGATGCAGTGAATCAGTGGCAGCAGGAGGGATTAGAACGTGGCAGTTCTTCACTGTCAGTCCTGTGCGATACCATGCTACTCCCCCAATAATCCATAAATGGTTCATTACAAAATGCTATTTCTGTCATGCTGTGTCGCATGTGTCGCAGGGCAAATGTGATGGTAAAATCTCTTCTGTGTTGGAGATTAATGCCCTGATTTTGCTAACTGCAGAGGAATGGTGATCAAATGCAGAGCCTTTTGCTACTAAAACACCCGCTCATTCTGATGCTGGTTGTTTATGACCAAAAGACAGTGCCACTAGGTGGTTCTTCAGTAGCATGTGTGCAATAAGTTGGTATATACCTCTACCTCGATATAATGCTGTCCTCGGGAGCCAAAAAATCTTACCACGTTATAGGTGAAACCACGTTATATTGAACTTGCTTTGATCCACCGGAGTGCGCAGCCCCCCCCCCCCCCCCACCCCCCAGAACACTGCTTTTCCGCGTTATATCCGAATTCGTGTTATATCAGGTAGCGTTGTATCGAGGTAGAGGTGTACTTAGCCCAGTTCCAGTGGACGTGTATCCATATAAGAAAATCACTATCACATCTGGCACAAATTGACATGTCAGATTCAGCACAGAGACAAAGGAGGAAAGGCAGCATGGAGACTAAATGATATTCTCTAGCCCTTAGAAGTAATCCTCCATTTTAGGGCTGTGCCACCATGGCAGGGCAGTGTAGGGGATATTGCACTGCTCCTATCTAGGCTCTCTCTTTTCTTTGTATAAACAGAGAAGGTCTTTTTCCTGCGCAGTCCATGCTACACCTCTCACAAGCATGAGGTTGCTTAACATTTTTTAATATTCAGTGATCATAGCCATTTGCAAGGTGTCACATTTGAACAACCTGTTCAAACTTTGTTTACCTTGACGTTTCTGTAATTTGATTGAAACCCTGTTGCTCTGACATTTTCATTTAAACTGTAGAATGTCAATATGCTGCCTCTGTAGCTTTGGTGTACACCTTGAAAAACGTAATTAGCATGGGAGGGACAAGAGAGATAAAGACAGGAAAGACTGCCCAAATTAGCAGAAGGAAAAACAGTAACTTGGAGATTCCCTGTGCTTACAAAGGAAAAAACCAGCAGCATCAGTAATCTCCCTAACCAGTAGAAGCTTGCATCTGCTGTGTTAACATTTCATAGTGGGTCATTTACAGCACCGACTGTATATTCACGTACCCATTTATCTTGCATTTGTATATTATTAACCCAATTATTCCAAAGAATGTTGAGAAAATAGCTGGAGTTACAGTTAATATAAAATCAGTGCATAATAGAGCAACTCAACATATAAAATCGGCGCATAGTAGAGTAACTCAACATTTCAGCTTTGTATAAGCATGAATTGGGACTGCACAGAGCACACAATGGATCACTAGAAATTAAAGTAATGTTGTTTACAAGGAAAATCATTAGCCAACAAGATGTATTGGCTAATTGTCATCATTTATTGATGGCATATGCTAAGTAATGATCTTACAGTCAGTCCTGGGATGTTCTTTAAATAGAGTTATCTTCATAAATTATTCTGTCCCATGTAATGCAGATTTACAGACCTGATTAAATAACTAAGTAAATAAAACTAAGCTACTGTAGCTCATGCAAAAGAAGAAAATGAGGGGCAAAATAGGCCTTATCCTGAGGTAGCTGTGGGTAATTTTGTTGGAATCTAAGTCAGCATTTTCCTTTCTTTATAGAAGGATTTGTCCTGGGAGGAAAATAGTGGTTGAATGTCTAGAGTGGGGCAGAGGGAAGAAGAAAGATAGGGAGCTTGGGAAGCACATAACCTTTCCATCTTCTTTTTCTAAATCCCTGTATTACAGCAGTTACGACGTGTACCCGTTATTAAGGTGGTAGAATAGTTCCTATTCTAACATCCCATTTTCAGTCACTAAGTGAAGCATCCCCCTTGTGGACTGACTATTTCTGTGTTTGGGCCAGTTCCAAGGTGACCTTTTTTGGAAAGCTGGAGAAAAATCCCTTTAGCCATTTTAAGGTGCAGGAGGATGAAAAACAGTTATCTCATTTTAAAATACCATTGCAACATGGGTCATTAGTAGGGTGACCAGATGTCCCGTTTTTATAGGGACAGTCCCGTTTTGGGGGACTTTTTCTTATATAGGCGCCTATTACCCCCCACCCCCGTCCTGTTTTTTCACAGTTGCTATCTCATCACCGTAGTCATTAGGAAGAGATTGGTGGGGGGAGCTAAAGGGAGGGAGCAATAGATGTAGTTTCTATCTTTCTTAATGATACTAACAATCTCTAAGATGCTCAGGTCCCTGTAACCCTCTGGTTGCATTATATGCATTTCTGTAATACCTATTTTTAAATTAACCAGAACACATTGCACACTTACTTATTCTTAATCCCTTGAGACCTTGTACACATTCCAAGTTTGCCTGCTATGGTTTGCTTTTGATAAACGTACTGAAGACTTCAGAGATGTATCCACAAACTACACAGCTCCTTTTCCCTCTAAGACTTTTGTAGTGTACTGAACACAATACAGTAAATAAACTTTATTCAGTGTATCATGCAAACCGCCCCTGTTTCTAGTCTGTCTAATTTTAAACTGATTACAGCACCTTCCTGATTTTGCCACTTTTGGAGATTTTATCTCCTCACTACATTTCCCATCTTCCCCATTATTAATTTCTCAGGGGACAAAATTGGTCCTAAAATTGTGACATCTCATTAGTTACACTCTTCTGCGCAACTGAACTGTTACCATTCACAATTGTTAGCTTCTGTTTGATTTTCATGCCAGTTTACCCTCCAACTCAGAGCAACTCCCATCTTCACAGCTACTAACTGACCATCTACCATAGTCTTTTGTGTGGTTCTTTACTAAATGCTCTTCTTAAAATCCACATAAATAATGTTTATCATTTTTCCTATCAATATTTTCTTTGTTACTACATCCATAAATCTTGTCCAATTTTTGGACATGATCTGCTTCTTTAAAAACCCACACTGTTGTTTTTTCTGTAAATCCTAGCAAATCTGTTCATCTCTCTTAACTAACAAGCAGGAAACAAACTCCCTTATGGACCCTTTCACAGTTTATTTTTGTTTCTCTTCCTGTGCCTTTGAAATCATTTTTTAATATACGTTATGGCTCATATATTTCATTAGTGTACAGAATGACTAGCTTTCAGATAAAAGGGTTTTGAAGACCACCTTTAAACTCAATGAATACAAAATGGGGAATAACTGGCTAGGTGGTGGTATGCTGAAAAAGGATCTGGGGGTTATAGTGGTTCACAAATTGAATATCAGTCAGCAATGTGATGCAGCTGTGAAAAAGGCGAATATCATTCTGGGATGCGTTAATAGGAGTGTGATATGGAAGGTAATTGTCCAGCTCTACTTGGCCTTGTTGGGGCCTCAGCTGGAGTACTGTGCCAATTCTGGATGCCACACTTTAGAAAAGATGTGGACAAAATGGAAAGAGTCCAGAGGAGAATAATAAAAATGATAAAAGGTTTAAAAAACCTGACCTATGAGGAAAGGTTAAAAAAAAAATCTGGGCATGTTTAGTCTTGAGAAGAAAGACTGATGGGGGGGACCTGATGATAGTCTTCAGATATATTGAGGACCTGATGATAGTCTTCGGATATATTGTTATAAAGAGGTCAATGATCAATTGTTCTTCATGTGCACTAAAGGCAAGACAAGAAGTAATGGGCTTAATCTGCAGCAAGGGAGATATAGTTTAGATATTAAGAAAAACCTTCTAACTATAAGGATAGTTAAGCACTGCACTGGAATAGGCGTCCAAGAGAGGCTGTGGAATCCCCATCATTGGATGTTTTTATGAACAGGTTAGACAAACACCTGTCAAGGATGGTCTAGGTTTACGTGGCCCTACCTCAGTGTAGGGGACTGGACTTGATGACCTCTCAAGGTCCCTTCCCGCCCCACATTTTTATGATTCTGTGTGAAGAAAAGTTGAGTGGCTTTAAGAGTGTATTATAGTCCTCTGGTTTATAATATGTAAATCCTGATCCTGCACACAGTTAAGAATGTGTTTAACTGTATATATGAGCAGCCCATTGTCTTCTGTGTAACATTAAGCATGTGCATAAGTATTTGAAGGATCAGGATCTTAAGTAAATTAATTTAAGACTGATTCCTTGCCTCTCAGCTGCTTTGAACCGCTTTACCAAAACCGATTTAGCAGGATAATTCTCTTCTTCCAGACTAGATCAAATGATTTTTCCAATGTAGGCTGTTTTTTTATTGATAACTCAAGATTCTTTGTTTCAAAAGCTCAGCTCATTAAAGTTAAATGTATTCAATTACATTAACTTACATAGTGGCATTATGCCAGTTTGCTGGGGTGGTTTATTTTGGCAACATTAACCGCCCTTAGTACATTGATGAAGTTTTGCTTAGAAACTTCACTATAAGATTTGATGGTGGTCCAGCTTAATGGTGGGGCAAGAATGGGAGCGGGAGCTGGGGAGAGAATGACTCCCCAGATGCTTTGTCATCACATTAGTAGGATCTTTTTCGTGCTGTGTGTGTAGACTGAAAGTGCTTTCTGTATTAACTGTTCAAAAAACAACAGGGAATGATTGTAGTTCCTAAAAAGGATCTTGAAAGAAGCTTAACAACCTGAATGTTTCTCTCTTTTAACGCAGTTCACACACACAGGGGTGAGGGGGGAAAGCTCCACGGTCAGAAATAGATGTTAGGATCACGGCATAACAAAAGTAAACCAGCACTATTAACCCTTTTATCTGCCTGAAAGAGCTTTACAATCAATATGGAGAAAGATGTCCTATTCTTCCCTAAGAGGAAATTGTATAAAAAGAGCATACATAGTATGTCAAGTGTTCTCTAGTCACAGGGGTTACTGAAACTGTTTCAAGGGGAAGCTGAAAAAGAGCTGTGTCATTGAACTCAGACATAAAATTATAGGGTTTTTTGTTTGGTTGTTTTCCATCATCTCTGTGACAGTATGCCTGAGTATTACCAGTTACAAAACAGGGTCTGCCATGATGAGGCAGAGAATCAACTGCTTGGTATTATTACTTGTTTTTGATTGAACTGGAAGAAGAGTCTAATGATGTATTTATAGTATATGTGAAGTTAACCTGTACGTATATCGACATATGTATATTAACATGGTGGCCAAATTCTACTCTGAGTCACACTGAACTCAGTCGGGTTGCACAGAGCAGCATTTGGCCCATTGTTAGACAGTAACATCCTGTATGTAGATTTCTTGGGCTTGATCCCAGTCAAGCTGTGCCCATTTACCCACGCTGCAGATCTGACCCTTTATCTTCCCCTCTCCTGTACAGAGTGAGTGTGGGTGGTAGAGAGAGAGAAGTATGCCAATTGCATGTCATACGTATATTGTAGGGAATGAGCTACTTGGAAGAACGTCGCTTGGTGCACCGTGATCTGGCTGCCAGGAATGTCCTTGTGAAGACTCCTCAACATGTGAAGATCACGGACTTTGGACTGGCAAAACTGCTTGGTGCTGAGGAAAAAGAGTACTATGCAGAAGGAGGCAAAGTAAGAAGTATCAGATAACCATCTTTATGTGTTTCATTGGATGTAGATATTTGCACTTGTGTATGAATCTTCATTTTAAAAATGAGACAATCAGGGTGGGATTTTCAAAAGTGCTCAGCATTGGCTTAATTCTGTTCCCACTGTAGCCATTGTGAGTCCATTGACTTTAATGCAAGCAGAGTTAGCCCCGTGTAACTTCAGTGAGAACAGAGGTAGGCCGATGATGAGCCCTTTTGAAAATCTCCACCCATAATGTCTGGGAAAAGCCAAGATGAACTTTTAAAAAAGGGCAAGTCTGAATTCTGTCATGTAGACAATACCAAATAATGTGTAGTTTATGAACAGAAAGGGAATACTATATATTTATATATGAAGAAGGGCCTGTCAGATCTCATTCAACACCCCAGTTTGAGGGAATATGCTCTAATGAGAAATTAAAGAGAAGCTGCTTGTGAATATTGCAGAGAGAATAAATGGAAACCATCTGATCTCCGATCAGTCTTCACTGTACAGCCTGGGATTGGATTTGTGCCCTGATCTGATATGAGATGTTTAAACAAAAAAAATCTTATAAAAGTTCAACTGTTAAGAATTTTGTAAAACTGAGTTATCAGAGATATTTGTACTAAAAAGCAAAATATTATCCAAGTTCCCAGACTCAGAGTGACAAATCAAAACAATGATAATTGATCCCTGTAAAACTCAAGTTGCTTGCTGTACATCTCAGATTTTCTGCCTACGGTCAAATTATTGATATAAACAACTCTGTTGTTCTAACAGTATTGCTCCTAGATTTGAGGTAGGTGTCTTATGGCTTAACTGGATCTTCCTAGGTTCCTATCAAATGGATGGCTTTGGAGTCCATTTTACACAGAATCTACACCCATCAAAGTGATGTCTGGAGTTATGGTAAGTCTAAAAATGTGATCATAATGATTTTAGATGGGTGAGAACAATTGTAAGATTTGTTAGGGACACTACACAGCCAATTTTTCTCCAGATATTCAGTCATCCTTTTATGATACTTATAACAGGGTCTTATACCAAAATGATGGGAAGAATAAATATTAATGATGGGCCAAATCTTGAGCTTCTTAACGAAGCAAAATTCCCATTGATTTGAATAGGGAATGAGATTTTGTCCTTGAAAGAGAGACAGTCAAATTGTTTTTATACATATATACACATTTTGGGGGGATAGGGAGGAGCATGTTCTTTGGAGAAGTTGTGCAGGTATACTTCCCAAACGGCACAATGTTAAAAGTAACCAACCTCCCTAAAAAGTAGCATGATAACGGGAGGTCAGCATAGCTAGCCTAAAAGCTAAAACCATAGTGGCAGATTGACAGATTGTGTAAATTGGGCCAGATGTCAGCTGATGTAAATCAGCGCATCTGTTGTCTTCAATGGAGCTACGCTGATTTACACCAACTGACAATGGCTAGAAGTAATTACCTTCCTGAGTCCATGAGCAAACAAGTGACACAGTGACTAAGTAGAGTTCACAGTATTCCATAGGGAATATATTTAAAAGGTTGATAGACTCATAGCCTTTGAACTAAAACATACAGAGACTATTGCAATTGAATAGGTAAAAGATTCGTTTCCCGGAAAATAGCACATTTAAGGTAGGCTGAATTTTGGGCTTGAATGCCCATTGCATTGGCCCATAGGTGTTTGAATCAATATTTGATTCAAAAGGAAATTGTGTTATATGGTCATTTAAAACTCCATAAAGTCCGGTTGTTAGGACACCAATCTCCGTTATGTAGGAATATACACTAATTGTTTTTTTACTGAGATGATACCTGAGAATTCATTGTATACACGCTTCCTGGAGTAAGCCAACCTCTAATTTAGGGGGTTTAGGAAGAAATTTTCCCTGGGATCAGGTAATTTCATAACGGCTGTAGCACTATTTCTTTCACCTTTCTGTGAAGTGCTTGGAGATAGGTAGACTAAAAAGACCTTGGGTCTGATCAAGTATGGAAATTCCTATGTTCCTATTAATCCACATAAATACATTTTCTTCACGTCCAAATTCCTATTTTAGGGCCCATGCAAATGGACAGCATCATGTAACGGCTACAGCATGGAATAGGTGATGTGCTGAAAGAAAATATTTTGCTGCAGTTAATTTAGAAAGCCTTCAAAGAGAGGAGATATTATTTTACCTCCAAAGAGATTATTTAAAACAATAACAAAACTTTTATTTAAAAAAAAAAAACACTTTGTGGGTTGGAATCAGTAATTAGCAACCTAATACCTTTCTGTTGTGAAGAGGTGAAGTCATGAAGTAGAGTTGAACATTGAGATTTTACCTTCTGTAAAACCCTAAAAAAAAAAAAAAAAGAAAGAAAAGGCCTGATTATTTCAATTTGTTTTGTTAACTCGGACCTCATTAAAATAGCTACTTCTGTAAGATGGAACATTTTCTTCCTCCATGAACAGTTGGCAAGTGAATAAACAATGATGGCCCCTTTAGTGAGCCTTAGCAGCTCTAAAACAAAGGTTAATGCCTCCACACTCTCTCTGATACGTGCTGTTCCTAGGTCAAACAGACCAGGTCTGCTGTGCTTTGGGAACATCATGAATCCTTGCTGACCTGATGAGACTCTAACATTGTCCCTTTCTCCTATTCTTCAGGTGTCACTGTTTGGGAATTAATGACATTTGGATCAAAACCATATGATGGCATCCCAGCCAGTGAAATTTCATCTGTCTTGGAGAAAGGCGAGCGTTTGCCTCAGCCTCCTATCTGTACTATTGATGTCTATATGATCATGGTCAAATGTGAGTTCAGTTCTTGTACATGTCCATGTAGTTCATATTAGTAAGAAGGAAAATGGTTCTAGTTAGGGAACATTTGCATGCTATGCTGTATTCCTGAGATTCACAGGAAAACATACCTATGTGCTATAGGAGAAGAGTAACATCACTGTGGTATGTTCAGACATCTCATGCTTCAGACAAGACAGCAGATTTTTCTTTAACTACAGCTCAGAGTCCAAATTCTCATTTCTCATCATTGTGGTAGTGAGCATGGTATAAAAACTTAGATTACACCAGTGTAAATCCAGATTAACCGTGGAATTACTCCAGAATTACTCTAGTGTTGCTGAGGTCAGAATATAGCCCCAGGTTTCCAATTTTGCACACTGAATCATCAGTCCTGACTTCTCTTCCTGTGTTTTCATTTAATTTCATTCAATAACAAACACAATAGGAAAAAATGTCTGAGAACCGCAGACAATCACAATATTAGTGGCTGCACATGAAGACTTTGAGCCAGGATCCTGAGCTTCATAACTGGTCTGACCCTCAATTTTTTATTACTTATACTCAGACACAGTCATTACAATAAATGCACAGGCGCTAGCAGATTTGGTAAAGCAAGTTTCTGCGGCATTGGTTCCATGTCCTTATTACTGTAAGTACATTAGAAGACATTCACAAGCAGCCCACTAGGTGGCGTTTAAACACTTTCTTAGATAAAATGTACAAAGTCATCAAAGAGGTTAAACTTTTCTTTGACTCAAAGAATTTACTTCTACTAATGTTATGGTTTTAGGAATCTCTGAATACATACTTCTTACTACTACTAATAACAATAAATCACTCATCCAAAAAGGGTTAGCCTGCTAAAATGAGATCTTGACAGATCTAATGGACCAACTAGCTGATTTCACAACCTCCCTTAGTGCATGGTTATGAAGCATTTATACACATGCTATGCAGACAAAGCACTGACAATGATACTTCACTGGAATTCACAATATTTCCTGATTTAGTGTAGTTCTAGAAATATTAAGCAGCAAGTTAAGACAGGTCTGTGGTTGAATACTAATAGAGATTCTACTCAATTGGGGGGTAGGGGAGATAATAACAGAAAATGTGGGAATGGCAGAGGTGCTTAAAGACTTCTTTGTTTCGGTTTTCACCAAGAAGGTTGGCAGTGATTGGACGTCTATCACATAGTGAATGTCAGTGAAAATGAGGTAGGATCAGAGGCTAAAATAGGAAAAGAACAAGTTTAAAATTACTTAGATGGGTTAGATGTCTTCAAGTCACCAGGGTCTGATGAAATGCATCCTAGAATACTCAAGGAGTTGACTGGGGAGCTATCTGAGCCATTAGCGATTATGTTAGAAAAGTCATGGAAGATGGGAGAGATTCCAGATGACTGGAAAAGGGCAAATATAGTGCCCATCTATAAGAAGGGAAATAAGGACAACCTGGGGAATTACAGACCGGTCAGCTTAACTTCTGTACCTGGAAAGATAATGGAGCAAATAATTAAGCAATCAATTTGCAAACATCTAGAAGATAATAAGGTGATAAGTAACAATCAGCATGGATTTGTCAAGAACAAATCGTGTCAAACCAACCTGATAACTTTCTTTGACAGGATAACAAGCCTTGTGGATAGGGAGGAAGCGGTATATCTTGACTTTAGTAAAGCTTTTGATACTGTCTCTCATGACCTTCTCATAAACAAACTAGGGAAATACAATCTAGATGGAGTTACTATAAGGTGGGTGCAAAACTGGTTAGAAAACCATTCCCAGAGAGTAGTTATCAATGGTTCACAGTCGTGCTGGAAGGGCATAATGAGTGGGGTCCCGCAGGGATCAGTTCTGGGTCCTGTTCTGTTCAATATCTTCGTCAATGATTTAGAAGAAGAGCTCTGTGTAAACTTGAAAACTTGTCCCTTCCACCTACAGAAGTTGGTCCAATAAAAGATATTACCTCACCCAGCTTGTCTCTTTCAAAACCTGGGACCAGCATGGCTACAACAACACTGCAAATAACGATTAGTAAGAAGATAGTTAGATATGTTCATCAGTGATTTAGATAATGGCATAGAGAGTTTGTGGATGATACCAAGCTGGAAGGTGTTGCAAGTGCGGTGGAGGATAGGATTAAAGTTCCCAATGATCTGGACAAACTGGAGAAATGGTCTAAAGTAAATAGCATGAAATTCAATAAGGACAAATGCAAAGTACTCTACTTAGGAAGGAACAATCAGTTGCAAACATACAAAATGGGAAATGACTGCCTAAGAAGGAGTACTGTGGAAAGGGATCTGGGGAGCATAGTGGACCATATGCTAAATATGAGTCAACAGTGTAATACTGTTGCAAAAAAAGCAAACATCATTCTGGGATGTATTAGCAGGAGTGTTGTAAGTAAGACACGAGAAGTAATTCTTCCGCTCTACCCCATGCTGATTAGGCCTCAGCTGGAGTATTGTGTCCAGTTCAGGGCGTCACATTTCAGGAAAGATATGGACATATTGGAGAAAGTCCAGAGAAGAGCAACAAAATTAATAAAAGGTCTAGAAAACATGACCTATGAGGGAAGATTTAAAAAATTAGGTTTAGTTAGTCTGGAAAAGACATAACAGTTTTGTAAGGTTGTTACAAGGAGGAGGGAGAAAAATTGTTGTTCTTAACCTCTGAGGATAGGACAAGAAACAATGGGCTTAAATTGCAGCAAGGGAGGTTTAGGTTGGACATTAGGAAAAACTTCCTAACTGTCAGAGTGGTTAAGCACTGGAATAAATTGCCTAGGGAGGTTGTGGAATCTCCATCATTGGAGATTTTTAAGAGCAGATTAGACAAACACCTGTCAGGGATGGTCTAGATAATACTTAATCCTGTCTTGAGTGCAAGGGACTGGACTAGATGACCTCTCGAGGTCCCTTTCAGTCCTATGATTCTATGAGATCTGAAATACAATTTTACTGGTAAAAGATCAGCCAAATAAAGACACACACTTCTAATCTGAAAAGAAATCTAAACATGAGTTTCTACCAAAGGGCCCATTGAAGCCAGTGGGAGTTTTACCAACTATAATGGGATCAGGCCCAATATTGTATTTAGTAATGAAGACTGTAGAAATACTTAAAGGAAACCTTAACTGAAATATAAAAAAAAAATCATGTCAACTTAGAAAGACAAAACTAATAAAATGTGCAAAATAATCACTACATCAAATTATAAATAAAAATCTAAACCAATAAAATATTAAACATTAAAATATGTATAAAATTAACTTAATATTATATATTAAAACCTGTTTTCAATCTAATGGGCCAGTTTCTGCCCTAGTGTAAATCACTATAGATCCATTGACTTCATTTAGAATAATTAGCAATGAAGAACGATGCTGCCCCTCCATACAGAAGTTAGGGCAGCGGAAACGCATCTCACCACTGGAGCCAACTGTAAATTGGGTTTTCTTTCAAAGTTGTTATAAAGCAAAGTTTATTGGTTTTAAAGGTACGTGACAATATTCAACCCGCAGCTCAATTAACCAGCATGTTTTTAAAAATGAATTGACATTACTTTACAATAGCAACCATATCTCAGATTCCCCATTTACCCCAATAGTGAGATGAATTTCCTGCATAGGCTGGAGTATCTGAGCAAAGTGGAAGCCATTATTGCAGAAACAGGAATTCAGTAAACCACAGGGAGACATGTGTTCAACTCCTTGCTCCAATGAATATTTAAGGATTTAGACAAAGTGGAATAGCTTCAACAGGAGAGACTGAGCACAACCCACCCTACAATAGTCCATAGCCTAGTGGTTAGGATGCTCACCGGGAGAGGAAGATCTGAGTTTGTCACTACTCCAGAGTGGGGATTCAAACCTGGGTGTCTCACCTCCCAAGCAAGTGCCCTAACTACCAGGCTAAAGGTGACTTGCATGTTCATTTTCTTTTTCTTTCTTTCTTTCTTTCTTTCCACTCATCCCTTCCTCTGAAGCTGGTTCCTGGCCAAAACTAATCATGTCAAATTTACGGATAGTGTCAGATCAGCTGAAACTCCATTTTTCAACAAATCAACTTTTTGTCCCAGAAAGTCTGCCCAGTTCTGTTAGCCTATCTGTAGGGTGCTGTGCATAGGAGATGATTAAAAATCAACAGTTACTCATGGGGCCCTGTTCTGGTCTCAGTTACCCAGGTGATTTCCATGAGAGATGCACCTGTGTAAATGAGAACAAAATTGGCGCACTAGAGGCAAATCCAGATACCGTCACCAGGCCAGGTACTGATCAGATATATAGGGCAATGGGGGAGAGAATCCTCCCCACACCATTGTGGAGTGGCTCTGAAGCTGACATAGCCTTCACAGATCTGCCAGGTGGAGTGGAGGTATGTCAGGGCCTGCATAGCACTGGATCCCCTCCCTGTCTCCTGGTTCACCACTCCCTGCCCCATCCTGTGGGCTGCTATGTAGTGAGCTTGTGTGGAGCAGGGATCCTGACTTTTAGGAGGACTATGCAAGCAGGAGTTAAAAGAGGGTACTCCCTGCATGTTGATGCTAAGCAGGAATCTTTCTACCATGTCTTCTATTTTTTTGGTCTTGCAAGAAGAGCAGGGGGTGTTGTTCTTAAATGCCCAAAAGGAACAAAGAATAAAGTCTAACGAAAAGCTGATGTGAATGGATTTCTATTTGTTACAGTTTGATGTAACAGCTTCACATGTACCAAGCACAATACAGTTCCTATCCTTTACATCTTATTTTAAAACTCTCTTCAGGTTTAATAGCTAAGATCATTTGATTTGTGCTTTGTTTTCCATACTGTCCCTTCAGGCTGGATGATAGATGCAGACAGTCGCCCCAAGTTTCGTGAGCTGATATCAGAATTCTCCAAAATGGCTCGAGACCCTCAGCGCTATCTTGTTATACAGGTATTGATCGGTTTGTTTTACCAGGAAACCAAGATGTTGAACGGTCACTTAGAAAGATGCCCAGGGGAAATAACAGCAAATATGAAATAATACACATGGTATGCTCACAGATGAGCAAGCTAAGGAGTTCAATGATTCCATGATCAAATCTCAAAAGAAACCGGACCAAATGAACATCAACAATATAGTCTTATGCTACTTCTTTCAGTTAAAGAAAACTGTAACACTGATTGTTCTAGTCCATTTCCAAGTTGTTACAGTAAATACTTTAGCATATTACCATATTGCTTAAAAATAAAGAACAGAACAAATAATAAATATGGATATGAGGAACAGAAATGTGACTAAGAATGTCAGGTTACTTCATCTTTCATAGAAGCAAAGAAGTTACAGGAAAAGACCTGTTAGACCACTGAGTCCATTTCTCTGCCCAGGCAGGATTGTGCTCTTCAGAACATTTGCTAACATTTAATGTGGAAAGAAGAGCTACTTAGGAGAACAGCAGCAGAAATCAGCTGCTTTGCTGTAGTGCAGGCAGGAGGGTGTCCAGCAAGCTGCTCTTACTGTGGTTTGGTTGACAGGGAGATGAAAGAATGCACTTGCCAAGCCCTACGGACTCCAAGTTTTATCGGACCTTGATGGAAGAGGAGGACATGGAGGACATTGTTGATGCAGACGAGTACCTCATTCCACACCAGGGATTTTTCAACAGCCCCGCCACATCCCGGACTCCCCTCTTGAGTTCGTTGGTATGATATTTCATCCATGTTCACACACCTAACTGTTTAGAATTAGTCATTTCCCAGGTCAGACAATATTTTTCTCTTTTTAAAATATCTTTTCTCTCTCTCTCTCTCTCTCTCTTTTGAAGAGTGCTACCAGCAGCAATTCAGCCACAACCTGCATTGATAGAAATGGGGTAAGTAAATGTGAGCAGCTACTGTTAAAAGTATCTCATCACTGTGTTAATGTTGTGAACTGAATTAAAGAATCAAGTCTTGATTTAGCAGAGATAGTGCCTCAATTTCATCACCAGATGTTGGCTTTCTCTTCCTCCCCACCCCTTTTTTTTCTGCACATACACATACCTGTACACACTAGCCTCTATGAAATAGTCTATTCTATACTCGATTTCTTAACCTGTACCTTTAACCTAGCAGAGATACCCCGTGAGGGATGACAGCTTTGTCCAGCGCTACAGTTCAGATCCAACTGGCATCATCTTGGAAGACAGCATAGATGATGGCTTCCTGCCTGCTCCAGGTGAGTACATCTGCTAGGTATCACCTGATCCTCAAGTTCATTCATTGATCAGCAACTTGGAATGCCATCGGCTTCTCTTTTAGATCTTTGAGGATTCTTGGTGATCTCTGGGTAATCATTTTCCTTCCCCTCCCTCAGCAAAGGATCCCTAAAGATCCCCACAATTTTTCGTCACTGGTCAATAAATAGGGGTGGGAAAATTGTGTAGAATTTTTCTTTTCATTTTTTTCCTAGATCTTTTCTGACAGCTTCTTGACCACATATCATTCACCATCACCACCAATCAGATTTCTACTGTTTGTTGTGGGTGCCTTATCAAGGTTTTTTTTTTCTTTTTTCTACCAATCAGACATTTCAGAAAGTCTCTTCTAAGAACTCTTTAGTCCTCTTCATTGTTTTTATTGTAGAAACTCTGCTTCTTGTTATTGCTGTTTTACTGCTTTCCAAACAGAAATATATTCAAGCAGAATGGATGGCACAATGAAATACACAGTGTTGCTAACCGCAGTCTCACATGTACTTGTATAGTAGTTCTTTGTAACCAGAACTGGTTGACTTAAAAGATCAGTAAGAGTGTTACAAGGATGTTTTCATAAAATGATATACTCGCAATACTTTGTCCTTAAATAGTACAGCAGTTGAGTAAGGGAAAGAACCAGCATTGAGCATTGTAATAGTGGGATATGGGGTCTCAGTTACTGTTGGTCTTTTATTTATTTATTTATTTATTTATTGCATTTCCATTATCTTTAAGTATTTCTCCAGATATTTGGTTGCTGTCAGCTAAACTCCCTGACTCAGATTTCAGAACACTCATGGGGATTTAGGCAAACACACTTCACTAAAAGCCATGGGAAATGTGTGGCTAAATTCCCTTGGCTGCTTTGAAAATCTGATTCCTTGAACCTTTGTTCAATGGAACTTCCTGCCTTTGGCTTAGTCTTGGAATCCTGAGAAAGATCCAAAAGACTTGTGGGCTGATGTGTGAAAAGATTGTTTCCACGTGATTAAAAATACACATCAGATCATTTAAAGGGCTGCATTAGTTACATATCTTTATTGCTTGCTTTCTTTCTTTTTAAATCTCAGAATATGTCAATCAGTCAATCCCCAAAAAACCATCAGCATCTGTAGAACAGAATCCAATCTACAACAACATCTCCCTCCCAGTAAACCCAAAGCCCTCTACAGCTTCAAGCTATCAGAATTCCCACAGCACAGCAGTGAACAACCCAGAGTATCTCAACGCAAGCCAGTCTCCTTTTGTCAAAACGGTTTTTGAGAGCTCCCCGTACTGGGACCAAACAGCCAATCACCAAATAAATCTGGACAATCCTGACTACCAACAGGACTACTTTCCTAAGGAAACTAAGGCTAATGGCATCTTTAAAGTTCCTGCAGCAGAAAATCCTGAATACTTAAGGGTAGCAGCACCAAAAAGTGAATACATTGAAGCCTCAGCATGACCACAGAAAAACTCTCTCTTCTTGCAGTAATACAAACTAAAATCCAGATGAACCACCTGGCTGCTGCAGGATCAAGCTATGAACTGACAGAAGAGCAATCACAATTCATTGACAGACACGCTTTTCCTTTCAAGCTGGTGGGCTGAATTCACCAAGCTCATTTTACTATATATTTGGGGCTTTTCCTTGTCCATCCACATACATAACTTAGGCACATACCATACACATGCATGCATGTTGGACTAGAGCAAGAACTTCCTGCAGATAAGAAATTGCAGATGCATTCCTTTTGTTTTCAAATGGTAGCATTATAAAAAGCCATTTTGGGATTAACTGTAAGAATTCCTTTCTACAATGCATATTTTTATAAACATTTCTAATGGAATTTTTGGATCTTTTACAAGATGAGACGCTTGCTTGTTGTACTGTTATGTGACTCTCGGACCACGAGGAAAAAAAAGAAGCAATACATTATTAAATCCCCTGAGAAGAGGTGGTTGTTTTTTTCAAACTCTTGAAAGTTGAATAGCTATTCCAAATTATTGGATCTTAAATATTGACTTTATTTACTGTACTGGTACAAAGAGGGAAAAAATGAGTCAGAGAGAAGTGTGGAGATTCTGCTTGATGAAGTAGTTTTTAAAATGGAACAGGTTGGTGAAATTTTATAACCCACAGTGTATTTAGCACAAGGACTGTATGGCAGCACAAATTACTTTACTGACCACTACTGTTGGAGACCAGCAGGAAGAACTCAGCACACAGAAGAGTTGTTTGTAAATGTTTATAAAGTGCTCACAAGTCTGTTTTCTGTATGTTGAATGCAAACCTTTCTTTTTTCCATTCCATTGGTTAGCTCTAGATTTGTCAAATTACATTTTTAACAAAATTTTTAAAGATGTTGCTATGACTGAAAAATGAAGTGTCAGTTCCCTTTGTCTCAATCTCATTTGGACAAACTTTTCATAAAGAGCAAGGAAATGCAAAAGGTGTTAATTGGGTTATTTGTGAGAGAGCTGGTGATCAGAGTGCAACTACACTAAATTAAACTTGGCTAAGACAAAAAATGCAACCCAAGGAAATGAGATTTTGTTGGTTTTTTTTAAAATAGCTCAGTCAAAAAACTTTTTTCCTGTATAAAAATTGCAAAGAAAAGGGGGGGGGGGGAAATACATCAATATACTCTGTTAAACTTGTGGCAGAATATTGCCAATTGCTGTATTACTGTGCGGGAATCCGTTGTCTCTTACACGACTACAGCTGCTGTGTTAGGGTGGTCTCTTTATGCTAGGTATAAAGAAAATACAGTGATAATGAATCAAAGAGGAAAAAGAATAGTCGGAAGTGTTTGAATGCAATTGCTTAGTTTACTCTTCTGAAATCGGGGACTGGGAATGCCACAGGCTTCTTTGAAGTCCAAGCCTGGTTGTCTAATTGTCACAGTGGAATAGGCCAAATCAATATTTGGTTTAATAATAAATATACAATATATCTATTGTACATAAAACCATTGTAGCACAAAAAGTTACAGAGATTGGTTCTCTTTAAGTTGTGTGTAGTTTTTAAAACTCCTGAAGTTCTTTTAATACCTTTTGTTAACGTTTTTGCTGTCTTCTTTGAAAGGAGTAGGGAAAAAATAGTTAAAGCATTACAAAGAGTAATAGTAATATGGAGGCATTCCTCCACTGTCTTGCTGGAAAGAATATTTTAGCCAAATAGTTGGATCTGAAGCCAGATGTGAAGCAAGCGATTTGCATGCTAAGATCCATAATTAATAGTTAATCATTGGAAAATTACTTGAGATGACATAAAAACTGTAACAGAAAATATGTAACATGTATACTTGAGACATCAATGCAACCTATAGAATCAGGGAATGGTCAAATTTCACTCCTCTGCGATGTTTGGAATACCTCAATGTAAATTCCAGTTGAAATATTGCATTTGAGTCCAGGATCAGGCCCAAAGCCCTTAAAATGTTGTCATGGCAGGTTTGTTTTGTTGGCTTTTTTGGGGGGGGAGGGGTGAAGACTGACTGTGTAAAATCTCTCATGTTAGATCAATGTAATGCAGACTGTCATTGAAAACCAGTACACGTATAATAATGTGTCTCTAACAGTACAGAGTCTGGAGCTGGAGAGCAAAGGTGATCAATTTATTGTTATCCTCTTTGGGCACATCTCACTCACAATGATTGGAGCCCAGCCACAGCCTTACAGGGAATATGTAACAACTTGTATTATTTCCTTGTAACTAAAACATTGAAAAAAATTCTGCTCTCAAGTACAGTTTACCCCAGATCTATACTTGTGTACCTGAGAGCAAAATTTTAATGCCATGTTCAAAATGCGCCAGACACACACACGCTCACATAGACACACACAGTCATTTTAACAATCTTTTTATCTTTTTTCCCCCATTAACAAGCTCACATGGGGATTGTATGTTTGTCAGACGACTTTCCAACAGACGTCATGGATCATTTACTAAGTCTACTACTCAAAGCAATACAGTACAATACAGTACTACATCTTTTCCTATAGTCTTGCCAATGTTATTCCCAAAATGTTTCAGTGACATTTTTAGCTTTAAAAGTGGTTATTTTAAAAAAAAAAAAAAAAAACACTAAGTTACCAGCATTATGTAGCATGGAAACTATTTAATACAGATTAACCTCTCTACATTTTTTAAATGGTTCCTGGAGGATTTTGTAACATGACCACCACGAAAGCCACTGAGTGTCACGCAGCTATATCCTTTAAGAGTGTTTAAGAAATCTAAGATTGAGTTCTCTTTTTTTATTTATTGTTTAATAGAAAACATAGCAGAGAGAATATAGGAGCCAGCTTCTGATGCAAGATTGTCTGTAATTTATGAACTATCCTAATTTATGTAGTACAGACTCTAGGTTTATGAACTAACAATATTTTTAAATAATTCTGATAAATGTGTCATGACTTCCTAATAGGCAGCCCTAAGTTATTCAAACACCAGCAGAAAAGAAGGGCAATGAGCACATTAGCATATCAGCTCAGCTTCATTGTATCAAACCATTTCAATGCATTTAAAATAAGTAAATGTGTGGTTTAAATGATCTGATTTTTTTTACTGGAGCACACAAATTGTGCAGCAGCAAAGATTCCTCTTTGTATTGTAGCGATCTAAACGAATCCATGGGAGTTATGTGTCACTTTCACCTTTGTTGTGGAATCCTGATAAGCTGCTGTTATACTGTATCCAGGACTATAACCCTTCTCCTTCTGCATCTCAGGCAATTTAGTCAGGCCTCTCTATAGCTGAGATAAAGGTGAACCATCTCAGCTGGTAGTAGTCTAAAGTCCCTTATCCTTTCTGTGGGCAAGTCACTAGAGGGCAACAGTGAGCATATGCGCCTGTACACAGGCATAAAGGCAATGATAAATTACACTTCAAGATCTCTTACAGATCACCTCCTCTAGAGTGTGCTAGATTTCAGAATAAATCGTACAGTTTCATATGATGACTATGAAACAGCTGTGTGTCACCACTCAGTGATCTACAATAAAACAATCAAACAAACCTAAGTGGCCAGTGAAGTATCACAAAGCCCATGTAGCTTTATCTGTCCATAACCAATTTGCTAGAAGATTTATGAATCTAGCCCCAGGATCCAACTGATATGAAAAAGACTGTAGGTATAACTGAGCAATATTTCACTGGTATCCAAGTTGCTCACTGGTTTTTGTCAAACGAGGGTATTAGTTGCTGTGTTGGAATGGGATTTCGTGGTTTTTGTATTATAGAGATGGTCTGTATAACAAGAAAAGGTTTTTTATTATATTTAAAGTGTGATTACAGATGTATTGCTATATAAATTGTTACAGCATTAGAGTAGAACCTAATTATAACGTAGACTATATATATATATATATATATATATATATATATCATTTTTCCTGGGCATTCAGAGTGGTCTCCATTATAAAGTGGTCAGAGCTCCTCCAGTTTAAAACTAGGAGAGTAGCTAAAGGAGAATGTTCTTGCAATATCTGAGCAAAACGCAGATTCTCATTTTGAGTAGTTTGCAAGGAAATTAAAATTGCAAGTTGATTAATAATAAAGCAGCACCAATTATGCCATTATGATTAAGAGTCTATAGTCAGGTCCATTATAAAAGAGTTTCCCTAAATACTAATACATGATAGACCAGAACCATTTTAAAGGGTGGTCTATCAGGAGTTGTGTGCATAAAATGTCTTTTTAAAAAATATGCCTGAATAGAGAGAGACCTACCAGAGCACAACAGCTTTTAAAGGATCATAGACTCTCACATGGGAAAGAGTTTTAAAATATTGCCTCTAATTTCTCACATAAAGAGGAATGACTCTGAACAGCATTGTGTGTACTTACCATACCACAATCACTAGCTTAGCAACTAATATGAAATTAATGTTAAAATGCTATTTTTAAACACTACATTTCAACATCATAAAGGTAAACTGCAAAATACCGGGAAATTCAAGGTTTAAGTCAGAATTTTCAAGTTCATTTGATGTTTTTCAGTGTTCTGTGTACAGTGCAAAAAGAACAGGAGTACAGACTAACACGGCTGCTACTCTGAAACCTGTGTACAGTGCAGTGTACTATAGCTCACTTGGCTGTAAATTGTTTTGTTTTGCACTGGGAAGGAGCTGGCTTGGGAAATGGTGAAAATGTTTCAATATATCATAAAAAGTAAATTTTCTGCAGGGTCCGATGCCCTTGTCTCACTTCCAAGTGAAGCGAAATAACCTGATGAATTTCTTTGGTCAGAGCACTTAGGAATACATGGCGCTCCTCAAGTTTTTTTAATCTTTAAGGTTGATTTGCTGCTCCTTCCTATCCCATTCAGCTGATCTTTAGGGCCCTGAAGTGATAGATAGCATTGCATTTCCTCTGAAAGGAAACAGGCCTGCATGGGATGGGGCGGCTGTAGGCAGAATTATATAGAGGGACCATAGCCAGGGAATCTACACACAATACAGATCCACTGGCCCAAAATTTTCTTAGAGGGGAAGGCACAGCAGTCATTGCCTACTACTTCAGCTCATGATGATAGCAGCAATTATGAGGGGCTAAGCAGGCGCCC